AGTCCAAAGTCCAGGGAACACAACTGGTGACGGTCTTCTCTGGTTGTGGCTTTACAGCAATGCAGAGGTCTCACATGCCAAAAAATGGAGGAGCAGAGAGAGAGAGAGAGAGAGAGAGAGAGACTCTCCCTTCTTCTCCTTTTAAAGCCCTTAGAACCACACCCTTGACCACCATTATTAATCCATGCACTACAATATGTTCCTGCAACTTAATCATCTTTTCAGGGCCCCACCCTTTAGTTACCATAATAGGATTTCCCATCCTCGTAACACTGTCACAGAGGAGGTCAATTTTTTGGAGAATACTCAATCCACGGCACCATATATGGTTTTTACTATGTTGAGGTAACTACTTTAGTACTAGTTTGTTCAGTGTGTTTATCATGAAAGTGTGTTGGATTTTGTCAAATGCTTGTTCTGCATTAATTAACATGATAATGTAGGTTTTGTCCTTTATTTTGTTAATGTGATGTATTATGCTGATTGATTTTTCATATGTTGAACCATCTTTCCTTTCCAGGTATATATCCCACTTGGTCATGGTGTAGTAACAACTTACTCCCTTCTAGCCTACAAAGTTCCTGTTTAGAAATCTGCTCATAATCTAATAGGATCTCCCTTTTGCTTGATGAGTAGCTTTTCTATTGCTGCTTTTTAGATCCTCTCTTTGTCGGTGAATTTTGACATTTTGGTTATGATGTGTCTTGGTGCAGATCTCTTTAGATTTATCCTAGTTGGAGTTTTTTGAGCTTCTTGAATTTTTATGTCCATTTCTGTCCTCATATTTGGGAAATTTGGGGACACTATTTCTTCAAATATGTTCTCCTCCTCTTTCCCTTTTCTTCTTCTCTGGTACTCTCATAATGCATATACCATCCTGCTTGATAGTGATCCATAATTCCCTTCAGCTCTTCTTTATATTTTTTCTTTTTCTCCTCTGTTTCAGTAATTTTGAAAGATATGTCTTTGAGTTCACTGATTTTTTTTCTTCTGCCTGGTCAATTTTGCTGCTGGCTTTCTCTAGTGATTTTTCAATTTAGTTAATTATATCCTTTAGTTCCAGAATTTCAGTTTAGTTCTTTATACTTTTTATAGCTTTGTTGATATTCTCATTCTGTTTATACATCAGGTTTCTAATTTCATTTAGTTGTCTATCTGTGCTCTCTTTTAATTCATTGAGCATATTTAACAGTAATTTTTAATTTTTTGTCAGGCAATTCCTATATCTTTGCTTCATTTGGGTCACTTTCTTGAGATTTAATTTGTTCCTTTAAATGCATCACAGTACCCTGTTCCTTTATCTGTGTCTTGTTTTTTGTTTTTGTTGGGATTCAGCATTAGAAAAAAATTAGTTAACGCTTCCAGACTTTGTGACCTGTCTAGAGATTATGGAGCCCTCCCAAGCTTTTTCTGGGTATTCATTTCTTTCTGTTCTCTCTGGGCTTGTGTGTGTAATCTCCTATTTGAAGTGATTTGCTGGTTTCTATTGAGGATCATCCCCTGTTGTCTATCTGCACTATTATAGCATCGCTGATGCTGTAGTAAATTGTGGTACTGGAGATCCACCTAGTGTCTTTATGTGGTACTGCCAACTCTGGTGCACATCTGATTGTCTTTGTTCTGAGAGAACCCCAACCTGATGCCCCATTCCTGTCAGTACTCGGATACAGTCCTTGAGAAGCCCCCCCAAAAGTCAAAACATTGGGTATTGGAGATTTGGATGTTTCCTCTCAACTGTGCCACACAATGTGGGTTGAAAGGGGCTCTGGAAAGAGAGTAGAGAGAATCATGAATTTTCCTTCCAGGTTTCCATGTGGTTGTCTTCATGCTAGCCTAGGGTGCAGGAACATTTACATTGGTTTCTAGAGTTCTCACAGAGGCATTTGGGCTGTTTGTTGTTAAATCTGTGTGTTGTGGGGAAACAAGGGTCTACAGCTTCCTGGCTGATGTCTTTCTCTCCCACATTTGTTCATTTCTGGTGCCAATAACATAATGTTTTGAAATTTCTGGGACCTGAACAATTTTCATTACTGTTCAGTGACATAAAGATTGCAAAGATGCTTTTCAAAAACAATGAGGTTATATCTCAATAAACCCACTGTAAATTGAAAATATTAAGTTGAAAATTAATTTAATACACCTAACCTACTGAACATCATAGCTTAGCCTAGCATAACTTAAATGTGCTCAGAATACTTACATTAGCCTACAGTTGGGCAAATCATCTAATACAAAGCCTATTTTATAATAAAATGTTAAATATCTCATGAATATGTACAGAAAGTGAAAAACAGAATGGCTTGCTGACACTGCCCAACATCACAAGAGAGTGTTGTATTGCACATCACTAGCACAGTAAAAGATCAAAATTCAAAGTAAAGTTTCTACTGAGTGTGCTTTGCTTTTGCACCATCGTAAACTCAAAAATTTATAAGTTGAACCATCTTAAGTCAAGGACCATATCTATGTGCTTCTATAACATGTCATAATTGACTCTCCTTAAAGAAAATTTTCATAATTTTTGTCTAACTTCATTGCAAAAATTTAAAATATTTTCCCTATGAGACTTTTCTTCCGAGCACCAACTTAGCAAAACTAGTTTTGATACTCTTCCATCTTTTGTGTTTTATTCTTAGATGACTTCCTATATCTTATCTAAGAATTTTTAGTTGTCTCTAATAAATTATATTTGACAGTTCTTCTCAATTCCTCTCACCTTCATTGATAGGATATATTATATGGCCATTTCATATGCAAGAAAGAACATACACACATCTTGCCATTGGGCCTTTTATCTCTATCCCCCAAACATGACCTAGTGTAAGAACATAGAGTAGGTTCTGGTAGACAAAAGTTTAATGAGTATTTCTTGACTATCTCTGTGTCATGCACTGTTTTAAGCACTGGGAATGAATAAAACAGACCAAAACCCCAGCTCTGATAAAACTTACATTCAAGTGATGGCAATATACAATAAATATATAAAGAAATAAAATATGAGTGAAAAGTTGGAGGGATGCTGGTCATAACTCACTCCATCGTTGTGGTCTTCAGAGCTCTTCCTTCAGTAGATACGATTTTTCCCCTGCACTGGTAACTTAGCAACTGAAACAGGGAAAGGAATGAAATACTATGTTTGTGCATGATGGGGGAGGGGCTGAGGGTGACGCCAGCAATGCCTAGGATAAAACATAGGTGGTTGCAAGTTGCCTAGGAATCTTCCACTTCCATAGACTTTCTCTCTTTGGCATAGCTCCCCCTTTGTCTTTAAGTTTCCCATATGTTTCAACTCCTCCTCCTCCTTTCACACCCCCCTCCAGTTGTGGAGATAGCAGCTGTGCAGTGCCTGGATGGATACTCTACCCAATCCTTTCCTCTGTATGTAAGTCACTCAAATAAACTCCTTGTAAACCATAAGGATTTACTTGCTTTGTTCTTTGGTTTTAAGATACCTTCTCAGTTTGGTGGACATTATACTTTTAGCTTGCACTCAGACAAAAGTGGTGCAATTTTAAATAAAGTCTTCAAGGAAAGCCTCATTATGAAAGTCACATTGAGCAAAAATCCTCAATGATGTGAGGGGGCGGGTGACAAAAATTTGACTACAGGAAAGTGCATTCCCTGCAAAGAGAAAAGCAGGAAGGAAGAACCTAGAATAACTAGAATGCTCAAGGTACAGCAAGAAGATGAATGTACCTGGAGAGGAATGAGCAAAGTCAAAGTAACAGAAGATGAGATTAAAAAGGTAAAAAGGAGTATCAATAGGGGAGGAGATTCAGAGAAGAGGACAGATCATTCAGGGTCTTGTAGGTCATTGAAAAGACTAGATATTACTATGAGATGGAAACACACCAAGTGGCTACGTAACCTAATTTTCATTTTGAAAGAATTTCTCAAGCTACTGTGTTGAGAAGAGACTGTTAGAGGAACTAGAGCAGAAGCATAAAGATGGATCTGGAGGCTATTGCAATCATTGAGGCTAGAATGATGTTGGAGAGCTGGTACTGTAGGAGGTTATGAGAAGGGGTCTGTCTTAGTCAGTATGGGTTGATAGAATATCATAGACAGGGTGACTTAAACAACAGAAATTTATATCTCATTATATCTTCATGGGAAGTCTAAGATCAGTGTGCCAGTATGATTGGATTCTGGTGAGGAAACTCTTCCCGGTTTGTAGATGACCATCTTTTTGCTGTGTGCTCACGTGGCAGAGAGAAAGAGAGAAGCAAGCTCTCTTGTTTTTCTTCTTATAAGTGCAATAATTCCATCATGAGGTCTCTACCTCTCAAAGTCTCCATCTCCAAATACCATCATGTTGGGGATTAGGGTTTCAGCCTATGAATTTGGGGGGAACACAAACATGCAGTCCATAACAGGGTCAGATTTTAATGGTAGAGCCAAAAGGAATTTGCTTATGAATGTGGATATGAGCTGTGAGAGACAGGATGAATTAATAAATTATATGAAAATTTAAAAAACAAAAGAAATTGAAACTTAAAATATCTCCATAACCACTGCATCTTAGGTTGAATGTCAGTACTTTATGTTGGCCTTAGAATTTCCCTTTGCCTCCAGAAAGTTCCATTTTTCAGCTGGCTTCCTGAAAAGGCTACCTTTGAGAATGTCCTGCCACTCCCCTCACAGTTAACCTATGCTATTCACTTGGAAAATTCAAAATAGCTTAACAACTCGGCCATCTGAGAACGTTGTCTAGCTTCTTATAAGTCAGTTTAATGACATTAATTAAAAATAACAATCTTAACTGTACTTCTGTAATAAATCTGATGTCGTAACCAAGTTAGAAAATGACGCTTTATTCATACAGTGATAATTTTAAAAGGTAAGAAGTAACAATTGGTATAGAATAAACATGGGTAGGATTTTCATGATAAAAATACATTTTTAAGTAAAGAAGAAAAGTGATTTTGATTCAGTGCATGTATAAACATTACATAGTTCTTTGATTAACCATTTTTCCCTTTTCTTCTGCTTCTTCTTAGATGTTCTTGGCAGCCCTGTCATTCAGCTTCATTACTAAGGCACTAGGTGGAGTCATTATGAAAAGTTCCATCACTCAAATAGAAAGGAGATTTGACATATCCTCTTCTACTGCTGGTATAATTGATGGAGGCTTTGAAATTGGTAACTTTTATTTCTATTTTAATAACCAGACTTGTAGAGGTAAAAACAAACAAACAAACAAACAAAACAAAAATCTTGCTTATACATGCTCTATACCTCTGCTTCACAACCAGGGTAAATTTGTCTCTCAGGGGCAATTTTGCAATATCTGGAGACATTTTTGTTTGTCATTACAGCAGTGAAGGGGATGGATGCTTCTGGTACCTAGGGTAGAGAGGCCAGGATGCTGCTAAACATTCTACAGTTCACAGGACAGCGCACAGCAACAAAGAATTATACAACCCAAAATGCCAGTACTGAGGATGTTGAAAAACTCATTGCTTGTAAACCAACACCTCGTGGGGCTTTACTGTCTCAAGATGCCCCAATGTTTTAAAGAAAGGTTGAGAGAGGACCATGATTCTGATAATTTGAGGAGGTCAAAACAGCTTTGGAGCAATCTATATTAGATTTCTACTGTTTAACTGGGTGTAGAATTTGAGGTTAGAAGTCTTTTTTTTTAAACATTGAAGATTTTTTTTTTTGCCTATTTTAATTTGGATTTCTCCAATAATAGAAAGGGTTTATATAATTATTGAGTTATTTTTTCTTATTTTATGGGTTGGTAGCTCATTTCCTCTGGTCTTTTCTTTTTCTTTTCACTTTTTAATTATTTGGAGGGACCCCAAAATTATGTCTTTTGTATCAATCGCAAATATTTTCTACAAGTTTGCTGTTTATTTTTAATTTACAGTATGCTTAGCTAGTGTTTTTAAAGTAATAGTATAAAGGAAGACCTATCTTATGAACTCTGGATTTTGTGATTTACATCCTACATATTTTTTCACCCTTTCACCTCCCACGCTTAATAAAACCATCTAGAATTTTAGAATTAGAATATTATTAGCTTTAAAATTTAATTCACTATGTATGTCTTTTTATTGAGGAATTAATTTTAAATATTTTAGTTAAACTTTGCTGCTGTTTAACAGTAATTATATGAACAATGTTATTCGTAAGTTGGACTGGTTTCTTTTCTTACCTTTCTTTCTTAAATCCTGTGACTTCAAGTCTCATCTTTAGTTATTCTAGAGTATATCTTCAAGTGGTTATTTTTTTCCAGAAAGAATTGAACACATGGCATATTTTCTGAGCCCTTGCATGTTTATTTTTAAGATGTTTATTTTACTATCAAATTCTAGTGATACTTAGTCTGCATGTGGAATTAAAAATTAAATTTTTTTTCAGAACATTTAAAACATTTATCTACTGTTTTATAACACTCACTGTTGTATATGAGAAATCACTATCCTGAATCTCAGAATTTTTACCAGCATATCAGCATATATATGCCTGTCTCTTAGCTGAATATATATATGTATATATATGTATGTGTGTGTGTGTGTGTGTGTGTGTGTATATATATATATATATACATACATATATATATATATATATTTTTTTTTAGTTTGGCAGCTGGCCAGTATAGGGATCAAACCCTGAACCTTGGCGTTGTGGGCACCATGCTCTAACCAACCTGCCAGCCCAAAGACTGTCTCTTTTTACATTATTTCTGCTATAGAAATGTGGAGATTTTCATCTGAAGGCTTGAGTCTTCCTTTAGCTCAGGGAATTTATTTTCTGGTTACTTATTTGTTTCTTTCTCTTTATTTTCTTAATTCTTTCAATTCTAAAACATATGTACGATGAATATTACATTTTTTGGAAAATTTTTCCCTTAAAGTTTTTCTTTCTGAATTTCTGCCTTTTTTTTCTTTATGGTCCATCAATCTTCTCTGATGCTGTCTTCCATCTTATCAAGTCCAATTTGTATATTTTTATCTGTAACATTTTTTTTTTCCCTTTTTGTCTTTTTTCGTGACCGGCAACGGATCGCAACCCTCAGTGTTGCGCCCGTACCGGACCGGGACCGGCAACGGGATCGCAACCCTCGGTGTTGCGCCTGCACCTCGCTCAGCCAGTGAGTGGGAACCGGTCTGTATGTGGGATCCAAACCCTTGGCGGGAGCGCTGCCGCGCTTCCCAAGCGGCGCACTGTAGCAGTGCGCCACCGGGCCGGCCCATTTCTGTAACATTTTAAATTTAAAACAATACTTTATTGTTCTCTTATTATTTTTAGTCCACTAGCTCTGATTTTATAAATGCTAACATGTCCTCGTACGTTTAGAGATACTAATTGGAATTTTTCAAAGTTTTTCCTCTTTTTAGTTTACTCCTTATTTAACTATTTCTTCGTGTGTGACTTAATGTGCTGGTTCATTTTGGTGCTATTCTTTCATGCTATTTTTTTTTTCCATCAAATGCTCAGGAATTCTTAATTGCTGTCTGATCATTGTTACACAGGTAGCTCCATATGGATCAGAATTGATTATGACTCTCTCCATTTAGAATGCTCTTCTTCCCCTGTTTAATCTAAATACGTTATACCCAACAATAAATCTCGAGTGGCCTCTCTTCCAGAAAACTTTCCTGAAGCAACAAATTAGTTTAAGTTCTTCCTGTCTGTGGTCTAATAGCACCTCTGTCCATCGATCTGTTTTTATCATTAGTATGTAAGTTTCTTGAGGACAAGTACCATGGCTTATTCTTTCTTTTATATTTCTGCCTCTGAATACCATGGCAGGAACTTAATAGGAATTTAAGAAATTTCAGGGATAAATTAATAAATGCCTGAATAAATACCTTTTTTTTTTTTCTCAGTTCAGGAAATGTTTCCTCATGTTCCTCCGTTTTAATACAATCCAGTCAACTCCAAATTCTTCAACAAAATTTTGCTTCACAATAAAACAACAATCACAATAATATGTTGAACTTTTAGAAGGAGAGAAAAGAACTGTGGCTACTAGAGGTGGAAAAGAGGAGGGGAGGGGGAGTTAATAAGAAATTGGTTAATGGACACAAAGAATGATGACATATTATAATGATGAATAAGCTAACTATCCTGATCGAACCATCACACATTGTACACAACTATTGAAAATCAACTTTGTACCCCACATACATGTATAATAAACTATTTTTTTAAATGTTGCTCACTAACATTACCAAGTAATCCAAGTGCTTTCTTTTGCATTTTTGTATTTTTTTCTATTCTATTTATTATTACTACTGTACAACTTTAGAATGAGTGATGTAATATGGGTGAATTTTACCTTCTCAATTAAATTACATGGTCTTTGAGGGAAGGTACCATATCTTGTGCTCAATTTGTATCTATTCTGGGGCCTTTGATTAGACTCAATGATTGGTCAATGTTTATATCAACATAATTTTATTTTCTTTCTAGGAAATTTGTTTGTTATTGTATTTGTAAGTTACTATGGATCCAAATTACACAGACCCAAGATAATTGGAATTGGTTCTTTCATTATGGGAATTGGAAGTATTTTGACTGCTTTGCCACATTTCTTCATGGGATAGTAAGTATTAAAGAGCTCTGTGCCATTAACTATTATTAACTTGCAAATTAATAATAGGATGTCATTTATTTCCTTAGAAATAGGCAACTGTATCTTTTCAGAAGAATATCCACTAAGTATTTATAGAACTGGTGTGTGTTTTCTATGTAGTAATTAATTTATTGCTTTATTCACCATGGCTTTCATAGACTTTGAAATATGAATAGCACTAAATAAGGTATACAGTTTCATGTACAATAAACATTTTGTGGGCCCGCCCGGTGGCACACTCGGTAGAGTGCGGCGCATGGGAGCATGGCGGCGCTCCCGCCGAGGGTTCGGATCCCATATACAGACCAGTCCGCTCACTGGTGGAGCGCGGTGCGGGCGTGACACCGAGGGTTGCGATCCCATTGCCGGTCATGAAAAAAGACAAAAAGGAAAAAAAAAAACATTTTGTGACTTTTTAGTATAACATATATACTTCAGGTCTTTGCCTATAAGATTTGATTTTAGTCAATACGACCTCACCACTCAACCCGCTGCAGTATGGTTTTTCCACCACCATTCCACTGAGGCTATTCTTTCTAAGGTCACTGTGTAGTTGTGACTAGAGTCACATGCTCACGACAGAAAAACTAACAGTGTCTTAAATAAGATATAGAAGTTTATTATTCACACAAAATTTGATGTAGCCAATCCAAGGATCGTACGATACTGTTTCTTTTTATGCTATTGCTCTGCCTTGCAGGGCCTTGACCTCATGGTCCAAATTATGGCAATGTTGTCCCAGGCAACAGGATGTAAGAAGAGGAAAAGAACAATACGTAGAAACAAAGAGCACTTACAGGCTGAGGATTAAGAAATATTTTCAGAAGCACAACACTGCTACTAACTTCACATTGGCCGGGAGTTAGTTACATTTCACATACAGATATAAAGACATTGGAAAAAACAGACTTTATCAGGCTGCCATGTTCCCAGCTGAAAATCCCAACTTTGATTACTATGGACGTAATCAAAGAGAAGAATAGGTATTGAGACACAGTGAGTAGTTTCTGCAAAAGGCACCAATTACTTACTCCTTGCTAAATCTAACCATCATGCCTTTTGGTTACCATATTAATTCATTCTTTTCCAACCTTCAACCCTTATGAGAACTTTCTCCTTTATGATACTGCTTCTTTTTGTTTTCATCATATTATATTGTCTTGATTTATTTCCCATCTTTGTGGCCTCTTCATTATGCCCATCTTTTTCTTCTGCTGCTAAGACCATAATGTCAGTGTCCCCTAAACTCCCTTTTAGTCTTCTTAACTTCTCATTCTCCATGATTTGTATGGAGTATGCCTCAAATACAACTATCAGCTATATACAACTTTTTCTAACATTCAGGATCTATATAATCAACAACCTTATGGATATCTCTTCAACTTAACATCCAAGAAGAATTTCCCACCCATATTTACAAAACAATTCATCATTGTGCCAAGACCAGCCCAGGTTTTTCACATTCACTCTTTCAGTAATGGTTCCTTTAGCCACAAAGCAACTCAAACCAAACTCAAGAACCTTATCCTTGATTCTTTTTTTGCAAAGATAACCAGTAATCACCATATCTTGCTTATTACAATTGCTATCTGTCAAAGTTGGACATCCCCACTGTCCTTAACCTAGTTGAGGCTTTTATAATCTCTAGTCTGAACTTTTTGCATCCAGTTTCAACTCTGTTTAAACTCATATTCTATGCTGGAGTACACATTTTAAAAATACAAATATAACTATTTTACTCCTGCTTAATATTCCCAATTTCCTGTAGCAGTTTTTCAAACTTCGGATCTTGGACTACTGCTGGACAAATAAATTAATTCAGATTATTGAGAACAACAATTTTTTACATGATAGAATAGAATAGAATAATATACAATGTAAGCAAGGATTTATACTGTACCGTGAAACTTCTGCTTTGGTTGTACATATATTTGTGTGTGTGTGTGTGTGTGTGTGTGTATTATGGTTGTGATACAACTATGTATCTTACTGTTGGTTACAGTCAAAAATATTGAAAGCCTCTTATCTATGGGTTAATATCTACACTAATTTGCATATGCCTGTTGCTCATTAATTGGATTCTTGACTATCTTCCTAGCTTCCTTTTCCACTGCTCGCCACAATTAAAGATCACATGCTAGGCTTACAGTTCTCCAAATGTGCTGTAATATGTCATGCCCTTGCATATGGTCTTTCTACAGCCTTGAATACTTCTTTTCCTTTGTCTATCCGTTAAACTGCTTTCCATCTTCACTATCCATCTCCTATGTCATCCTCGTTGTAAAGTCTTCTCTAATCCAGCCCACCTCCAAGCAAAGCCAATCATCCCTTTTCCTTTGTGACAACTCAGGACCTTGTATATTAAGTTTATTATTTCTTTTATCATATATGTTTATCTTAGAGAGTGTGAAATCCCCTAAGTACAAACACTGAGTTTTATTTATAGTTCTTTAAAGTTTAGCTTAATGCTTTCCATACAGTAGGCTGCCCTTGGAGCTGCAGCACACCTCAGTATGTTTGGATATCAGCATTTGTCCATATTCTAGCTCCTACTATGTTATCCTTTATCAAGTTGAAGTATATTAGAATTTCCTTAAGTTTTTAAGAGCATTAGAATGTGCATATCTCTGTCTGTGTGTGTGTGTGTGTGTGTGTGTGTGTGTGTGTATGCCCATGAAAGAAAATCAGACATGTTGATTGAAAATGTCACTAACTGGCATGTATTATAGATTGATTTGGAAAACACTGCTCAAAAGTTTATTAAATATCATGATAAATTATCAGGAAATTTAGATTGTGACCATCTTTGAAGATAATGTAAAGGCATGAATAGACACAGTTAGCACTTAAAAATAAAAAAAGGTGAAATCAGGATATTTCATATCTTGATCAGAATATAAGCACCCCTAGGATTATAACAAGACATCATCCCACCTCGCCTGGGGAGTATTGAATGATCTTTCTTAGTGGACACTTCCATTTCATTTTCACCCATCACCTCTCCTAAAATACAGGCTGGGAAATTGACAAAAAAGGTTCTGGTAATTTGGAGAAGAGGGTGGTGCAAATAAAGGGGGAAAATTCCTCTGTATTTCTGGGAAAAGTGAAAATATTCAGTAGATAAGCAAAATTTTAAGTCCAGTGATGTTCTTACAGTTATAGGTATTCTAAAGAAACCTATATTAATCCATCAGAGAATTCAACATCAAGCTTACCAACCTGTCTAATTAGTCAAACTTTATCTCACAATAGAACATCACCTGAGATACTCGAAAAAGGTAAGAATTAAATTTGTGAAAGTAAAGACTATTCTAAAATTTAGGAATTTAATTACCTTTATAAAAAATAATTGTGATATTTATTAGAAAAATTATTTAAAAACAAATAGGAAAAACAGATATCATAGTGTTAACATATATATATATATAAAGAGATTTTAGAAGAAGGTAAGAAAAGAGGATTTCAGTGAAAAAATGGCAAAGAACATATGCATTTAAAATAAAGAAGTGGAAAGTGGAAAAATTTGTGAAAAATGTAACTTCAATCTTTATGAAAAATGCAAATTCTTACACCAATTAAAATTTTTTTCCTTATTTAACATAAAAAATTATAATTACAAATTATAACACTAAAGATTTTCCTACCTATTGGGTAGGAATAGATTAAAAATAAAAATTGAAGTGGAAGAAGGTAAAAGATTTTACATTTTATATATTGATGTAGTGTGTAAATTTGTAACTCTTTCTGGAGGTTAATTTTCAATATATATTAAAGAACAAAAATATACTTACCTACTTGACACAGCAATTCTACTTGAAATAGGAATGTGCACAAGGACTTATTTAAAATTATAGCCAAAGCATCCCTGTTTAACTTTAAAAGAGGAAAGGGTAAAGGGTCACGAAAATCAACTACTATGTATATCGAGAATTTAAAATAATAAAAAAAATTAATTAAAAAAATGAAAAATAAAAAATAAAAAAGAGCCTAACTGAACCAACATTATTTGCAACTAGTCTTTGGACTCTTTGCTATATAAGAAAAATAAATCTCTATGTGTTTCCAAAAATAAAAAAATAAGAAATTGATTAAATAAATTATGAAAGTGTTATGCAACACACTATTGTGTAGCCATTAAAATCGTGATATAAGAGAGATATTAACAACATGGGAAAATAAAATGTCAGGCACAGAAAAATAAATATAGCATGTTCTCACTCAGGTGGGAGCTAAAAAAAAATAACTTGACTTTTAAAAGATAGAAAGAACAAACGAATGAATGAATGAAAGAAAGAAAAAGAAAGAAAGAAAAGATCACAATAACACATCGAACTTGCAGAAGGAGAGAACAAACCTAAGAATACTAGAGATGGGGGAGGGAGGGAAGGTGGTTGCAGAGTGATTGGTTGGGTAAGGGGCATAAAGAAAAATTATGATTTGTAATAATGAATATGCTAATAGAAATAATAAAAAATGTAAAAAAAAAGTAGAGAGTATAATTGTGTTTACTAGAGGCTGGGGGAAGGATAGGGAGTGGTTGGATAATGGACACAAAATTAAAGCTAGTTAGGAAAAATAATTTCCAGTGGTGTACAGTGGTGCTAGGTACCTATAATTAACAATAATTTATTGTATATTTTCAAGTGGCTAGAATAGAGATCAACTGTCTTCATCACAAAGAAATGATTAAGTTTTGTGATGATAAATGTGCTAATTGTCCTGATTTGATCATCACACATTGTATACATGTACTGAAACATAACACTGTACCCCATAAATACATACAATCAATTCATGTCAATTAAATAAATAGATTCCTTTAAATAAATAAATAAATTCCTTTAAAAAAATACAAAATAGTCATAATATAGTGTTAACTGTAAAGGCAGTTATAATGTTATGTTATAAGATAGTATAATATGAACTGGGTATTTAAGTATATGATGTATATAAATAATATTTTCTATATTTCATGTGCACCAAATACCAGCCAGTTGCCAAAATAATAATAGTAATATGTGCACTAAAAATGTAGAAGATATGTAGCAACATTAGAAATGACTTTCTGTGTACAGTGGGATTACAGATATTTTTACTTGTTTTCTTGTGCTTTTCTGTATTTTCAAACTTTGCAAAATGAGTAATAAGAAAAAGCAAAAAAAATTAAATGGAGTAATTAAGAGTTCAAAATTGTTGAATTTCTAATAGGAATGCTAAAATTCATCTTTAAAATAAAAGTCTCTTGTCTACATAGGTTGTGAAAAGGAATCTGGGTCTTACATGTGGATATATGTCCTAATGGGTAATATGCTTCGTGGAATAGGAGAAACCCCCATAATGCCACTGGGGATTTCTTATATTGATGACTTTGCTAAAGAAGGACATTCTTCTTTTTATTTGGGTAATGTACAGAAAATACTAAGTTGCGTGATTACTCTCCCTGAGTCTACCCTTGAAATGATACTGTTACTAAATTCTTTTTTTTTCTTTTTTTTTTTACTTAATGGAAAAATCATTTGGAGAAATTTATTATATAATGTCACTTAAAAAAACATGTTGAATAGGAACCATGCATTCTTGTCATCTGATAAAATTATTTTATAATATTTTCAGGTACTTTGCATTCAGTAGCAATGATTGGTCCAATAATTGCCTTTGTATTGACATCTCAGTTTGCTAAAATGTACGTGGATATTGGATTTGTAGATCTGAGTAAGTACAATCAGAACAAGGTACCATGATATTGTCTTTCAACTACAGGACACCATTATTCCAAATAATTGAATTCGCTCTTTCAGTAGTTTTTTGTTTACTATTTTCAAAAGTTACAGGTAGAAAATAAATGCATTAATAATCAGAATGAAAATAAAATTTACTTCCTATTTATACCATGCTTTTACAACTAATTATAAAAATGAGAGAATCTTAACAAACTTATTTTAGATTACTTGATCCAAAACAACCAAACTTGAAATGTTCCTCTCCCAGTACTGACCCCCAAGTCAAGTAAATTTCATTTTTTGATTGATGGTGGTTTGGATGTTAAACTGCAGAATGTACCATGTGTCTTGCTAACAGCAGCTTCCTTGTGGCTGTTGGACTGACTTATGGCCGGAGTGGTTTGAGACTACGGTGTACACTTTGGTTTTGGTTACTTTTCTTGGTCCTAGCATAGGGCTTGGCATATGGTAACATTTAATAAGCACTTGTTGGAAAAATGAATGAAGGAGAGAATACATAAATGATATCTATGACTTTCTTCTTCACTCTCACAGCATACTTTTCTTTTTAATTCATAGAAGTAGAGACCATATTATAGAAACTGCCTCAACTTCAGGCCCTCATTCCTAAAACTACTCTTTTATCACACTGTACATCTTTATCTTCTTTTTCCCAACTCAGTGGAAAAGGTACACATCCTCAGCCAATGTTAATCAAGCCACCTGGAGGTTAGATTCCCTGTTCCTGCTTCTTCCAAGATCTGCTTCCATCAATCCTTTGCCTGATCCATCCTGCATCTTCAACCTCTCCATTCCCACCCTCTCTTTCTCCTCTGCAAACACACTCAAGTCTCTCCCATAATTTTTATATCCTCAAACAACTTTGGAGCTGATTTTCTTTAAAGACAAGAACCTAAAAGAAATAATATAAATTAGATGTCTCACCTCCCACCTCCCATCCACTTCTCAACCCACTATTATCTGTATTCTACCACTAATGAAACACAATCAATTTCTACTTAATTTGCTACTTCTAATGAATACTTTTCTATAACTTGTTTTAATTAATATTTATAGTACATTCTCTTTCTTTCCTTTTTCTTTTTAGATGTCTTACAAGCACCTATAACATATCAGAATCTGGCCTCAGCATCTTACCTACCCTCAAGCCCACTTTGTTCCCTATGTTCCTTCTCTTATTGAATATCTTTACCTTAATTCAATTATTGACTGAATTAATGCATAACTTTTCATCTGAACTCTCTGCCACCAGTCTCACCCATTCTCATTCATACTGCTTCCAGAATAAATTTTCTAAGCAAATCTCATTCATGTCATCCCATGTTTAAGATCCTCTAATGGCTCACATTGCACTTCAGGAGAACAGCCAAACTGCTTAGAATGGCATAATTGGTTCTTTATGATCTCTTTCACCTTTTTCACTTTTTACCTCTCTGCATTTTTTTCTTCTTCTCTTCTCTAATATATACCCTATGTGCTAACCATGCCACACTGATTGCAGGTCTTTCATTGTGCACTGTAATCTTACATTTTCATGCACTTACAGGTGGAAAATCTTTTCTCCTTTTTCCGTTTGCATAGTTTTTAGTCTCTTCCAATATGTGGCTCCTCTTCAAAGAAGTCTTACTTCACCACCTTCCATTGACCCAAAGTTAGGTGTCCCTATTAATCGACAAGAGTATGGCTTTATTTTAGCCCTTATGACAATGAGCTGTGAATATGTGTATACTTCCCTGTCATCTCTTTTAGAACATGGCAAAATGGTATCTGTCTTAACATATAATTAGTGATTAATATTTGTGAATAAACAAATCTGATTTTCTCTCTTACCACAACTTCAATGAATCACTCCAAGGAGATCAAAGAATTCATTTCCAAAATGGAGTAGACATCACAGTAGGCCAACAGGAGCCACAAACTTGAAAGTGTTTGCTAATATTAAACTAAAGCAAGCACCTGATGAAATGTTTTATATCTTCTATTTTAGACATGTGACTTACAGTAGGTTCACATTCTATATATTATTTCTACTCATTCATCTCCAAGATCATCATTATTTTTATCAGCAGGAGTACAGAAATAAGTGGTGAAGATCCTTAGGATGATAGTTTTATAAACTTTCTACTACATTCAGAAGTCATTATTCAAAGTATTGTATAATTTATGGTGATTCAATTCCTACCATTGAATGCTCAGACCTTATTATATCTTTCATTCAGTGATGGGTATGAACTGAAGTTATTATAAAGTATATGTGGGTTACTCCTATACCTAGAGGAGCCAAAGAGATAACACAAATGAGTAAAGAATGGCAGGAATAGAAAATTAGTGTGCGTTGGTTAGACAGGAAGAGTTGGTAGTGGTGAACTGCCCTCCGCAGGAACCCCAGGCACCCATGCACATGCGTTTCAATGGGTATAGTATTCTTGGTTAGAAGTATTTTACTTTCAGTACTTTGAATATATCATTCCACTTCCACAGGTCTGCAAGGTTTCTACTGAAAAAAAACCTGTAGTCTCATGGAAGTTCCTTCATACATGCCAAGTTGCTTTTCTCTTGTTGCTTTCAAATTCTTCTTCTTGGAGGTTTGACAATTTGATCATAATATGTCTTGGTGTGGATTTCTTTGGTTTCATCTTATTGGGGACCCTTTAAGCTTCCTGGATCTGGATGTCTATTTCTTTCCTCAGATTTTGGAAGTTTTCAGCCCTTATTTCTTTGAATAAGCTTCTTGGTCCTTCTCTTTTTCTTCTATTTCTGAAAATCCCATAATATGCATATTGGTCCTCTTGATGGTGTCCCATAAGTCCCTTAAGCCTTCTTCACTCTTTTTAACTCTTTTTTTATTTTTATTCCTTTGACCGGGTAATTTCAAATGACTTGTCTTCAGGTTTGCTGATTCTTTCTTCTGCTGCTTGTTCTAGTCTGTTATTAAATCCCCTCTACTGGATTTTTCAGTTCAGTTATTATGCAGTTATGTGTTCTTCAGCTCCAAGATTTATATTAGGTTCTGTTTAAATTTTTCTATCCCTTTGTTGAAATTCTCTTTGCTCACACATTGTTTTCCTGAGCTTATTGAACATTTTCATTATGGTTATTTTTAATTCTCTTAAAATTCATATATCTCCTTTTTATTAGAGGCAGTTTCTGGAGTTTTATCTTGTTTCTTTGTTTGGGTCTTGTTTCCCTGTTTCTCTATTTTTCTTGACTCTTTGTGTTGGTATCTATGCATCAGAAAAAAAATCACCTATCCAAGTGGCCTTGGATTGAGTCTTCAATGACTGGCCTTGTACAGCAGAAACCGTCATCAGTCAACCCAGTCAGAGCTTCTTTGGGCCTCTCAAACCTTCATGCTTTTCCAAACTGCCATCTTTATTTCTAGGGGCCCCCAGGTATCTAGAGTATTCAGGGTCTTATTACCACTCCAAGACAGATGAGACAGAAGCTAGTCCCTTGGTCAACCCCCAGAAAAGTTTGAGCATTTGGAATGTCATCCAACTCTTTATCTCCCTTGAAAGAATGTGGGAGCTGGGATTTTTCATTTTCTCGTTCTGCATAGATCTGAGGAGCGGGCATGGCAATCAATGCCTATATACTAGTTCAAACCACCATCTTTGTTCTTTGTAGCTTCCAGATGTCTAGCATATTACCAGCTCCAAGTCAGGTGAGACAAAAGCTAGTCCATTCACTAGGACTCAAAACTGATGAAACATTTGATGTGTGGTCCACTTTTTTTTTTTTTCTTTTTGCTTGCTGACTCTGCACTGAGCCAGAGGTAAAGAGCTGGGGTGAGTGCTCACATACTAGTTCAAACTGCCATCTTTGTACTCTGTAACCCCCAGAGGTCTAGCATATACTGGATCCTGTCAGAACTCCAAGATACCTGAGATAGAAGCCAGTCCTTTGGGTAACACCCAGAAAAGCTGAAACATTGAATGTGTGGTACAACGCTTTCCCTCCCAAGGGAGAAGCTGGGAACTGTTTTTTGGTTTTTTATCCCCCACCCACTCACTCTGCATTGGGCCAGAGTTAAGAGTTGTGGCAAGTGTCCACACACTAGTTCAAACTGCTAGTTCTTCCTGGTAATGTGGCACCATACTGAGGTGCAGATTATGGCAGGAGGTGTCCCCAGTTTTCCTACTAGTTTCAGTGTGGCCTGTTTTACACATGTCCAGGTTACAGGAGCCTCTCAACTTGCTTCTAGATTTCTTACAAATGTAATTGATCTGAATATTGCTGTTGAATCAGTGAATTCATAAGAAGAAGGAGAGTCCAGGGCTTTCTATTCTGCCATCTTGTTGATATCTTATGTACACTTTTAAAAATTAACTTAGAGTGTTTATTTCATACTTACTGAAATAGCTCATTTACACATGAGATATAACATTTACTTATCACTTTTATACATGCTTTACAGGAGAATATGGTTGAAATAAAATAGTTAAATTATCCCTGACATTTAGAGTCCAAATCCTCTGGGTTACTTTTAAACTCAGATTTTCATCATGTATATTTTTTTCACCAATATCACCCTCTGTGCATTCATAAGAGTTGGAAACATGGGTTTCTGGCTTGGGAGAAGTGAGCCCCCCCCCATTGGTTCTGAGAATTTTTTGCAAACAGCTTTAAATTTCATTGCTAGTCCTTCCTTGACATCAACAGGTGGTGCCAATAGATGTTTTCAGACAATGAGGATTCATATTCCTTCCATAAACAGTTCTTAAATGGTTTGTAGGATTATATATCCAGTGATGACATTTGCCCTTTTATGTCATCAGAAAAGCCACCAAGGTTACATAAGCTCAGGCAATGACAACAATGTCATGACTGATTCCCGGACAATAGCAATTATAATAAGATGTCTTCAATGTTAGACTTATCCTGGTTTTAGAGAAGAGAAAGTATGAAAAGAGAAAACATGGTGCCTTGGATTTGATAAAATATAGTTTACATTCTTCATTTATGGGAGAGCATCATTAATATTATTGCCCAGAACTGAATGTAATTATAATTATTAATTTATTTATAATGTATTATGTTAGCATTATTATTATTTCCTAGAACTTAATGTATTTTAAAATTATTTTTGACTGGCTTCTTCTAATTATTTATTCTAGGCAGTATCAAAATAACTCCTAAGGACTCTCGTTGGGTTGGTGCTTGGTGGCTTAGTTTTTTTGTGTCTGGACTATTATCTATTATTTCTTCCATACCATTCTTTTTCCTGCCCAAACATATAAATAAGCCACAGGAAAAACGGAAAGTTTCAATATCTTTGCCTGTGCTCAAAACAAATGAAGAAAAGAATCAAACAGCTAATTTGACCAATGATAGGCCAAATGTTACTAAAAATGTGACTGGTAAGTATTGCACATTCATAGTCAACTTGCAATTGTTAATCCCAATGAAAATGAGGAGTGGGTGTTTCAAACAATAAATCATACCCAAATCATCCGAAGTTAGCACTCTTCTGCACTAAATTTAGCTGAATTGTTTTTCTAAAACGCCTATTAAAATTAGTAAATATCTCCTGAGCACATAACCAACTGAAGATGATTAGGTTTGCAGAATTTAGTGGGGAGAAACCAACCAAAGGCTAAAAACATCTGTTCCTTATAAGTGAAAGAGTGTATATTTATTTCAAATTTTACAGTCTCAACTATTAGCGTTAAAAAGACTGTAGTATTTAATTCATTCATTCACTTGACAAAGGGTACGAAACACCATATTATGCCCTGGTGATAGAACATTGCCTCTATTGTCAATAATTTGCAATCTAGTGGATACTATTGAGAAGTATATAGACAATTGCAATAATGTACTTTAATTACTATTGGAAGGTTAAACTTAACTATTCCCCAGGTGGAGAGATGGGAGTAAGGAGAAGGAAGTCAGGAGAGGTTTTACTCTAGGTAATTAGAGTAAGTTTTTGTTTTTGTTTTTTGCAATTGTATATCAAAAAACATTGCTTACCTAACTATTCAAAAATGAAGTGAAAGCAACAGTAATAGTTAAGATACTTGGAATCAGTAATGTGAATTAGGATCCTTCACCATTTGATAACGCCTCTCTTTCAAATATAAGTCCTGGGGGCTAATGAAGAACCACTGAGAAGCGATAATTAGAAAAATGATCCAGCCAGAGCAAGAAAGATGAAACAATGGGGTGTTGACAGCAGTTTTCAGATTGGGGAGATATGGTGAAATAGTAAAAGCCAAAGCAGTGCATTGCCTAAACCCTTGGGAACCTTTCAAGTTGACATTGAAGTGGTATTACAAATTCTCAGGTGTAGCTCAAGTTATTCCTCTCATAAGTTCTTCCTCTTACCCATTTTATTGTATTTTCTCTTCCCCATCCTTCTAACCCAAAAGCAATGGTGTGCTGGAGTCGGCTTGTGTTGGCTCATGAGAGGGGATTGTTAACATTTTCAGATACATTGGTGGCTTGAAATTGGCCATGACTGAAGAATTTACCACTACCTATCACCACAGAAATTTGGAAATACTACAAATCAGGGCTTGCTTCACCAAGAGTTAGTTGTTAAACATTTATAAGCACACCATTGAGTTAGAAGTTTTTGAAATTTAACATGCACACTAGCAATAGCATACTAAAAATTTTTCATTTTGTGTACGCTATGTTTTTACTTTACCAAATTGAATCCATACAAATTAGTGGGTTGTCTAAACCTATCAGGACTAGGATTGACTGCAAGCCCCAAAACAATAGACAGGATAATGGAAAATGCAAAAACAAGACAATTATAAAAGTCATCTATATTATCAACTGTCTTTTTTAAGATAGTGACCTGAATAATAAAGGGGACCTTAATTATGTGCCTATTAGGAGTGGATAAGATAATTAAGAACATACAGTTAAAAGAAAAAATATTGGATTTATTCTATATCCTCTTGAGGAGAACTTAGATTAATTGGTTAGAAGGAAACAGGGATTTCAGTTCATTATGAAAATAATGTGTAAACAATGACAACTGCCCCAAAGTGGAGCAGATTGCTTTCTGAGGCCATCAGCTTAATGCCACCTGAATTGTTTATTGATCCATTTATTAATGATAATAAATAATGGATTGTGATTGTGTGGAAGTTCAGACTAAATAACATCCCAGTTTCTACCCACTTCAAAAATTCAATGATTTGGTGAATCTATAAGTTCCATTTCTTTCAATCAAAGGTTACAGCTCACTCAGAATGCCTCGTAAGTCAGTAGTAGTCCTTCCTGATTAGGGAGTCCTATGCAGAGAAGTTTAGCATTTTGGCTTAACAATTTTAAACATTGTTTATTCCTGTTATCAATTTCCTTAATGCCTCTTTTTTTCTTCTCTTTTCCCTTTGCCCTAACTCTCTTTCCTTCATATTATAAGCAAATAAAACTATTTCTTAGTTACCATTAGATGTAAGTCTTAATTCTGACTCTATCTAATGTATGTCTTTTAGAGATCTAAAGAACAAAATCTTTCAAGGCCATATTATCCATCTCTCAATAACCATATCTGGTTCTGTCTTGCTGAACTCTGATATTTCCTACTGTTTCTCTACAGTAGTTTCTTTCACTTTTAACTCCTATTATAATTGGTTGACCCAGTGATCACACACCCAGATCACATCATTTCTTCCATGGACATAAGTTATGCATTTGTTACAAAACCGTTTGTAGGCATAAGTTTTTCTACTATTACTGTCATGTCACATTGTTATATTAAGAAAGGTGACTTATAATATTCCCAGATTTATTGAGGCAGCATTTTATTGTAGAAAAGCTGTATACCAGGAATAAGAGATGTGAGTTCTTGTACTAAATTATCTTTAAGATTTTTGAACATTAGTGTTCTTATTTCTGAATTTTGGGTGATGCTATCGTTAATTTGAATTTCTAGTTAATAATTGTATTAATATAGTGATTATATTGTTAAGTGCTAATAAATAAGAGACATTGTATGTCTTACTCAATTTTGTTTCTTGAATACCTAGCAGATTGCCTAGTACTCAATTGAAAACCCAATATTTGTTGATTGAATGAATGAGTGAATGAACATGTATGCAATAGTATGGTAGAGTGCCAAGAATAACCAAATATTAAGTGAATAGAGCAAGTTACCAGACAGCATGTATGTATGATTTTATTTTGGGGTAAAATAAACTAAACAAATAAATATTAATATAAACATGGAAAATACTGAAGGAATACATAATAAACTATAACAGTAGGATTGCAAGGTACTTTCACTTTCTGTTATGTATTTATGTATTTTTAAAACTTATATAATGTATATTATTTACAAGATTAAGATATTAATATATACTTATGTTTCATTATAATATTTCTTTTATTTTTGTACTTTCATAGGTTTGTTCCAGTCCTTAAAAAGCATCCTTACCAATCCTCTATATGTTATATTCTTGATTTTGGCATTGCTACAGATAAGCAGCCATATTGGTTCTTTTACTTACATCTTCAAATATGTAGAGCAACAGTATGGTTATTCAGCATCCCAGGCTAACATGTTGTTGGGTAAGACATATTGTTTACCTGTTTGCTTGATAAGTGATATGCTACTGAATACTTGTGTTCCAAAAGATATTTTACCGTGAAAGCAATTTTACATTTTAGTGACTATAATTTCCATTTTTTTCTTTCTCAAATCACCAAATTTGTCAATCTCATGATATTATCATTGTTCTGCATTTGAAGAACAGTGATTGCATCTCATGTTAGATAAGTTCCAAAAGGAAAGGTTGTGTATGAATGAACCCCATAGACATGGTATCTGCATAACTGGATCTTATAACTTAGCGCCAAGACACTAAGACAAATCCATTTGTAATATAATTATTATAATCCTATAATTCATTGGCCTTGAAATCAGGACACAGCTAATTACCAAAAATAGAACATTGATGTTTTCAGAAAAAGAATCAATTTAAATACATCATCAAAATATGGATAATTCAAAACATAGATGAGCTTGAAGAAAATTATGTTAAGTGAAATAAGCCAAGCATAGAAAGAGAAATACCACATTTTCACTCATAAGTGGGAGCTAAGGAAGGAGAAAACTGACCTACAGTTAGGTGGGAAAAGGGAAGGGGCAGAAGGTTAAGGAGGTAATTGGGTAAAGGACACAGAGTAATTATGATCTGTGTTCATAATGATGAACATGCTAATAGTATTGATTTGATCATCCCATACTGTACACAAATACTGATAGTCAACTCTGTACCCCATAAACATATATAATCATTTTTCAATTAAAAAAACAAATTTAAAAAATTAATTAAAAAATTAAATATCATGGGCCGGCCCGGTGGCGCACTGGAGACTGCGCTGCTTGGGAGCGCGGTGGCACTCCCACCGAGGGTTCGGATCCCATGTGGAGACCGGTTCCTGCTCACGGGCTGAGCGCGGTGCGGGCGCAACGCCGAGGGTTGCGATCCCGTTGCTGGTCCCCGGTGTGGGCGTGACACCGAGGGTTGCGATCCTGTTACCGGTCAGTAAAAAAAGACAAAAAGGAAAAAAATAAAAAATAAATAAAAATTAAAAAAAAAATAAATATCATATTTTAGAGAATGTTTTTTGCTATAGTATCTATTTTCAATGGCATATTGGGACCTGCTTATGAGAAAAAATTTCCTTATCTTTCTTCCCACAACTCCAGTATTGTAGAAACATTGTAAAAACTCAATAAATGTTTGATGAATTAAACAACTTATCAAGTGGTATGTGGCCAGGTCATCAGTAAACAAGAAAAGGATAATATGAAAATAAGCACATGAAGCACTGGACCAGACTTCAGTAGATGCCCTTATTGAATTTAAGATAAAAGTTTTAACTGTAAATGTTAAGTTTGACTCCAAATAACCTGGCCTGAATTTTTTATTAGAGAAGTCTTCATCTTTAATAACTCTTACAGGACATTTATGTGGAAAAGTTATGAAAGGGATCAATCATTTTTAACACAGTACAAGGGTACTTCAAAAAGTTCATGGAATGATTCATATTGTTGTTTAATTCTATTTTTTCACAAACTTTTTGAAGTAGCCTCATATATAGACCTGTTTATCATTTTAAGGTATAAGTGTGCTTTGATAAATAAGGAAGACATTGTCTTAGTCTGTTTTCTATTGCGTATAAAAGAATACTTGAAACTGGGTAATTTACGAAGATACAAAATGTATTTCTGATGTGGAATCTGGGAAGTCTAAGGTCAAGGGTGCACATCTGATGAGAGCTGCCTTGCTTGTAGGAACTCTTGGTAGAGTTCTGAGGTGATATAGGGCATCACATGGGGAGAGGGTTGAACTGCAAGCTCAGGCCTCTTGTCCTCTTCTTATAAAGTCACCAGTTTCACTCCATGACAAGCCATTAATCCAATAACACATTAGTCTATTAGTTCATGAATGAATTAATCCATTCATTAATGGCTCTGCCCTCATGAACCAATCAGCTCTTAAAGACCCTACTTCTCAATACTGCCACACTGGAGATTAAGTTTCAACATGAGTTTTATAAAAGACAAACATTCAAACCATAGCATTCCTCCTCTGGACCCCAAAAACTCATGTTCTTCTTTCATACAAACATATTTATTCCATCCTCATAGCCTCAAAGTCTTAACTCATTCTAGCATCTACTCAACAGTCCAAAGTCTCATCAGTGAGCCTGTGAAATCAAAACAAGGAAACAGGCATAGGGTACACATTCTCATTGCAAAACAGAGAAATAGGAAAGAAGAAAGGGGGAACAGGCCTCAAGCAAGTGTGAAACACAGAGGGACAGACATTAAATGTTAAAGCTGGAGAATCTTCTCCCTTGACTTCATGTCTCACATCCTGTGCACACTGATGTGGGGGTCGAATCCCCAAGGCCTCAGGCAGCCCACCTCCATGGCTTTCCTGGGCTCAGCCCATGCTTCAGCTCTTCCAGACTGGCATTGCATGTTAGTACCTCTACAGTTCTGGGGTCCCATTTGCACAGCTCTACTACATATTGCCCTGGTGAGGACTCTCTGCAGCAGCTCCAATTCAAAATTTCCACTCAGCATGCCCTACTGGGGCTCTCTGCAGTGGCTCTGCCTCTGTGACAAGTCTTTGTCTGGGCCTGCAAGCTGTTCAATATATCCTTTGAGTTCTAGGTAAGAGCTGCTATGCCATCAAAGCTCTTGCATTCTTTGGGCTTGCAGAACACCACATGGATGCCTCCAGGGTTTATGGCTTGTGCTCCCCAGAGTGGTGGGTCAAGCCATACCTGCACCTGCTAGAACCACAGCTGGAGCAGCTGAGGAGTGCTGTCCTGGAATGCAGGGAACAGAAATCTGAGGGGGCCCAGGGCAGCAAGCCTGTGGAGGGTGCCCCAGGTTTGTCCCCCAAAGCCATTCTACCCTCTTAGGGCTTTCAGCCTGTGATGAAAGGGACAGCTTCAAAAATCTCTGAAATGCCTTCAGGTCTTTCTTCCATTCTCTTGATGATCCCTTCTCATACTAATCTCCTTAGCAGATGGTTGCTGGGCCACACCCTTGGTTTTCTTTTTCAATACTCATTACATGGCCAGGCTGAGAATTTTCCAAATCCTTCCACTTCGCTTCTCTTTTGATTTGAATTTCATCTTTAAGTCATTTTTCCCTTTCCCAGCTTAATGTAAGTGATTAAAAATAATCATGCAGCTGCCTAAATGCTCCGTTGCTTGGATATTTCTTCTGCCACGTGTCCTAATTCATTGCTCTTAAGTTGTGGATTCTGTAAAGCCCTCAGGCATGGATACAGTCCATCCAAGTTCATTACCATTTATAACAAGAATGGCCTTTACTCCAGTTTCTAATACCTTATTCCTCCTTTCTATCTAAAACCTCATCAGAATGGTCTTTACTGTCCATATTTCTATCAACATTCTGGTCACAACCACTTAAATAATCTCTAAGAGCTTCCAGACTTTCCCTTACAGCTCTTCTCTTCTGAGTGCTCACCAGAATTGCCCTTAATACTCTGTTTATAACAGTTTAGCCTTTTCCTAGCCTGCTTCTCCAAATTCTTTCAGCCTCTACCCATTACTTAGTTCCAAAGTTGCTTCCACGTTTTTAGGTATTTGTATAGCAGCAACTCCACTTCTCAGTACAGTTTTCTTAGTCCATATTCTGTTGCTTATAAAATAATAGCTGAAACTGGGTAATTATAAAGAAACAAAATTTATTTCTTACAGTTCTGGCATCACTGAGCATCACATGACAGGGGGCTGAGCATGTTAGCTCAGGTCTCTCTTCCTCTTCTTATAAAGCCACTAATTCCATTCTTGTGATAACCCATTAATCCATTAATCCATTCAAGAGGTCAGAGCCCTTGTGACTTAATCACCTCTTAAAGGTCCCACCTCTCAGAACTACCACATTGGGTATTAAGTTTCAGCATGAATTTTGGAGGAGACAAACATTCAAATCAAAGCATAGCAGGTATTAACTCAAGTACTCAATTCTAAAACAGTGGGCAAATTTGAAGTGAGTTCTTGAGGGCTGAAATTCTTCATTTTAAGAGATGTAACGGATTTCAGATAATAGGATAAAAATTTCATAGGCAGAAAAATGGTGTTTTGTTGTTTTTTCAAGGGAAGGGGGAAATATGCCTCATAGAAATCACCTGTATAGACACACAAATATGCTCCATCATTGCCTTTCGCTATTGTGGAAACCAAGCCCTCACCATTGGCAGGAAGAAATAATTTTTGTCTCTCCAATATGTTACACTGGTGTCCTACTTCCATTCTGGCGTGCCGTTGTTCTACTTAAGAAGTAATAAGATTAGATAAATTTGGTTCATGTACTTGTGTTTCATATGTAAAGACATATTAGAAAAATCATATTTATGTAATTATAGCTTTTTTCTCTTCGTTTTCTTTTAGGAATCATAACCATACCTACTGTTGCAAGTGGAATGTTTTTAGGAGGATATATCACTAAAAAATTCAAATTCACCATGATTGGAATTGCCAAATTATCATTTTTTACTACAGCAATATCCTTTCTATTTCAGCTATCATATTTTGCTGTAATATGTGAAAGCAAATCAGTTGCTGGCCTAACCTTGACCTATGATGGGTTTGTATATATCACTATATCAATTGCACAATGTGTTAACTATCCAATTAAAAGATTCTGTGTAAGTGAAATAAGGCAGAAAAATATTTAAACTTTCTTTTAATTGAGAGAAATTTCAATTTACAAATTCTTAAAATGTCCATTTCTTGAGACCTCAAAAATCTCTTCTTTTATTCCTTCCTTAAAGAAAAATTACATTGATTGTATTAATAATTATTTTTTATGAGGTACTTACAATGAGTGATGGTGCTTTTATCTCCATATTAGAGATGGGGAAAGAAAGGCTTAGTGAGATTCACAGATTACATGGTTAGCAACATTAATAGTCTGAATCAAATTTGGGCTTTTTAACTCCAAAATTCTTAGCCTTAAGCACTACAGCCTTGGATAGGTGGTGAGAATCATAAAAATGACACTCTCCAAAAAATGACTGAACAACCTTTATCTACAGTTTAGTTTGATGTTTAAAACTATTTTAATAAGAGAAGACTTCCTTAGACTGTACTGCATTTTCCTTTTCTGTAAGCTAATACTGTTTCTTCTGGTATCATTTCCATTGGAAGTATAATTATAAATGTCCTATATATAATTGCATATTAGATCTTGGAGAATCTCTATTTTTCCAGCATTATCACATAATGAAAAGTATCCCTAGTACTACAGTCTCTACCCCAAATCAAGGTGAGATTCCTATGCAAACTTTTTATCATCTCCTGAATATAACCAACAATTTAAGCTTAAGAAGGCTGACATTTAAGCAATATGCAAAGATCTTCCAATCACAGTTCAGTAAACATGTTCATTAGTGCTGCTTATTGTTGATGCTGAGCTTCAGACTCTGGATCCTATGAGGTGTCAACTTTAACTTGTCAAAACTTCTGGCATTTCCTTACCTAAACTAACTGTTATTCTTGTAGGCTTGCCAAGCTGACCTTGAATTATCTCCCTGCTTGCTCCTTATTCTGTTTTGATTGTCCCTATTCACCATCACCTACTCTAGTAAATCAAAACACAGTGTACATAGAATATCAAATGTTAGAGGTAAAAGAACTTTTGAGATTATGCAGCCCAATTATCTTATATCCCTTCCTTTATTCATTGGGATCCAGAGAAATCGTAATTTGCTTTAAGTGACACAATGACTCCAGACTGATCCTACATCACATCATTGGTTCCAAGAACTCCCTGGTCATCAGGGCAGACTTTGGCCTGAAGCCAGTTCCCTAAAAACAAGTATAGTAACTTGGATACCACCTAAAACAAGAATACCATCTATTCAAAAGATGGCAAGAGTTCTATGAGATTCTTTTCATTTAATAAAATTTTGTTAAATTTGTTAAAATTTAAATAAAATTTTGTTGAGTACCTCCTTAAAGTTCAATATATATAGGATACATCACTACCTTTGTGGAACGCATAGTGATAGCAAATAGAATCAATATACCCAGCATTTATAAAACACCAGTCCCTGGGGTAAGTTTTTAATGCATGAATTAGTGCAGAGGTCTCAGAATATGTTCTGAGGTCTCTAGGGATCCCTGAGACCTTATCAAAAGGCCTACCAATTCTAAACTATTTTTGTAATAATACTAAGACATTATTTGCCTTATTCATTCTCACTGTCACATGAGTATTTAGTGATATTTTCTAAGGCTACAAGATATGTGATGACATCATCAGTCTGACAGCCCATAATCTGTGTGCTTATGTATTCTTGTGTGTTCAAAGTTTCTTAGTATTAATTTTGAATAGAGTATGTATCAATAGTTTAAACAAAAAACCTTTGGGACCGTCAATACTTTTTAAGAGTGTAAAAGTCTCCTGATAACGAGCTTGAGAACAGGCTGGCCCGCTAGCTCAGTTGGTTAGAGCATGGTGTAAATAACACCCAGGTCAAAAGTTCAGGTCCCCATACTGCCCAGGCATCAAAAAAAGCTCAAGAACTGCCAAGTTAGTTTTTTTCCAAAAATATTGCTATGAGGTTGACTTGATTTTCTATGACTTACAAATGGCAAAACTGATTTTAGAAAGAGTAGGCACATTGCTAGGACGTGGCAGAGCTAATAAAAACACGGGAGCGTCTGAGTGTCATGTTTGGTCATTGTCTTAGTTCATTTGGGCTGCTATAAAAAAAAAAAAATACCATAGACTGGGTAGCTTATAAACACACAGAAATTTATTTCTCACAGTTCTGGAGGCTGGGACATCTAAGATCAGGCCCTGGCAGATTTGGTGTCTGGTGAGGGCCCATTTCCTGGTTCACAGATGGTGCCTTCTCACCCTGTCATCACATTGGGCAAGTGATCACTAATCCCATTCATGAGGGTTCCCACCTCCTGACCTAATCACCTTCCAAAGGCCTCACCTCATAACACCATCACATTGGAAATTAGGTATTAACCTATGAATTTTTGGAGGACACAAACTTTCAGACCATAGCAGTCAATTATTCTGCTTAACCTCAAGAAGAATTAGGTATTCGATTCTCGATTAGAGAATTAGAATTAGGTATTAGATGTCCTCAAGAAGAATTAAATATTAGATTATTTTTCATAAAATTAATAATCATGTAATTTATAAATCTACCTCTTTTCTTCATTTAAATTACTTGCTCATTCATAGATAATTCATCAATTCTCAATTATCAATATTTTTACAAAAACAAAAGAATGATTTTTAAAATCCATAAGTAGAAATTAATCATGTGAATTATATATTTTGTAATTTTAGCTATTATAAAATTATATTTTGTAGTTTATAACCATATAACAAAGTAAATCATTCTAAAGCCTACTGTATTTTTATTTTTAAAAATATTGTGTTCCTCTAGACCTTTTACTAATTCTATTACTCTTGTTTTTTCTGCTTTGACCGTGTCAAATACTTTTACTCTGTATTTAAAATACACATTTTAAAATTCAACCTAATTACATAACGTTCACACATTCACAGGACTTTACGGTGAGCTGGGAGGAAGCTTAGTCTAATGCCATTACCTTACCAAAGAGAAATCGAATCTTAGAAAAATGAAGTGACTTATCTACTGTAAAATTTCTTGATAGAGTCGCAAAGACATCTTGTCTAAGTCTTACTTATCCTCTCTGATTTCTTTTTAAAGTTTTACTTTTTCCAGGTCATAAGTCATGTCTTGATAAAGATGGGGGGTGAAAAAGTGGATAAGCATTTTTTTAAAAACTGCCATTTTGCCACCATCACATGAAGTATCTCTACCTAGTTAAAGCAACACCCTTTCTCTCATTTCTTTTCTCTTTTCCTCTTCTCTTGTCCTGTCTTCTTTCTCTACTCCCCCTCTTCTCCCTCCTCCTCTTCCTCTTCTTCTTCTTCTTCTCTCTCTCTCTTTTTGATATATGTCTACCATATATTTCCAGAAATAATCCAGTGACATCTCATATAGATGTACCACTTTCTAATTGCAACTCACACTGCAATTGTGATGAAAGTCAATGGGAACCAGTCTGTGGGAACAATGGAATAACTTACGTGTCACCTTGTCTAGCAGGATGCAAATCTTCAAGTGGCGATAAAAAGCCTATCGTGAGTATTAGTTTTTACTTTCTCTCCTCTCCCTGATCAAAATCACAGATTAGATTTAAAAGTTGCTTATCAAATCTTTCTATAACTAAGGACTCCAGTAAAAAAAGGAAAGAAATAGATTCTGATAGTATCTGTCATTGTGATTGCTGTGGTGTTGTGTATACAAAGCTTCATAAAAAATTCTTCTTGGGACACAATCAGGTTTTTCTGTTACTTGAATTTTAATTTGAGATTATCCTAGTTTTTCCTTTTGAGATTGTAAGAATACAATTTTTTGAAATGTGAATGCATTTAGGGTCTCTAGGAAGCACCTCATTTGACTGAACCATATGATTTCCATTAAGTTGGAATTCCTTTATCCTTCCAAAGTTATCGGAAGGTTCTGAGTCAGCTTGTTGTCAGCCCAACCTAACTTAGTAGGACAACAATCTGTATGTAATTTTGCACATAAATCCTGAAGAGCCTAGCTCACAACTTGCTACCTGTTTGACTTTCCAAGAAATTAATCAAAGCTTCATGCTCCCTTTACTGCCCAATTCTTGGCTTCTAATTTTGATTTCGTCAAAGCTGGCACTTCTCCTACCTAGAATAATTCAGTTTCCTGCTCACGTATTGCCAACATATCCCAAAGAAATGTCATTTCTTTTTTTACCCAAAACATTCCTTTCCATGTGAACTATGGGTTCTCCTTAATGCCCCAGATAACTCCCACAAGTTGGGGATGATGTATGGTGTTCTCCATTACCTCCAATCCACTCAACATCTCACAAAGTTGGGTGACCATTTCTTGGGCCCTTTTCCTATCACCAGCATTGGCACTATAACCACTATGATCAGCACTGTCTACCACACCCTTCTATGTTTGATTTTTAAATGTCTTCCATCTTTCCCTTGCCCATAGTTCTACCAATTGCATTACAGAAAGACATGGAGAACTTTGAAGAATAAAGCATTCTAGATTCTTTGAAGCTGGGCCATAACTTTAATAAACATGCACAAATATGGGTCAAAGAATGTACTTAAAAGCCCATGTTTCATATCCATGACAATAGTGCCTTTCACTTGGAGTGCCCCATTTAACCCATTGTCCTACTTTGCCAACTAGTGAAGGCCTGGAAGAGATGCGATATTAGAATTCTAAAGACAACTCTGTTTACCGTGGAGACATCATCTTCTTAATACCGGCAAGGACCATACCATTTGGGGCCCACTGCAAAGTTCTCTTACCAAATTCTTAGTAATAAACCATCTTTTCTTGAAGAAATGTTCTTTGTACCAATTCCTGAACAATTCCAGCTCCTGAACAATTCCTCCATATTTTTAGTGAAAAAAAAAGTTTAAAAGTTAAAAAAAAAAAAAAAAGTAAAGCTTGGTAGAATCATACAAGTATCTATTCAAACACTTCCTCAATTCCTCCATTAGTAATTAGTCTTTAGTACCAAAACATAGAGGTGAACTTTCCTTAAACCGCAGTTAAACCTAGAATCAGAACAAAATTTAATAAAGCCACCTACCTACATAAACTGATTAAATCTCTAAAATCATTTGTTTCCTAGTTTTCCCTTTCTGTACTCTAACCGTTAGTCTGTCATTATGCTCCTGGATGTTATTTTTGCCTGCCGACATAGAATTCCAGCACCCTTGCCCAGCTGGCTCCCTTTCCCCTGGACTCTTCTATTCTTATGCATGGCTCTAGTCCCAGATTTTGGCCCCTCCCAAACCACTATATTTTCTGGATTCTCTAGGTAATCCCTTCCCAGGATGTGTCCGTGACACTTAGTAGAGATTGTTAAAGAGAGTAAGTAGGTGTGTTATAGAAAGTAAAGGTGGGTGGAAGAAAAATATTAAAAATAATTTATATTAATAAGAAAATTACATTCAACATTTTAGACTCTATTTTCCTCAATTCTTTTCTAGTTTTAAATGAGGAATAAATTAAATTTTAATACTGAATTTCATCTTCTTGTCTACAAAGGAATCCAGGAAACTATTTTTGCCTTTCAACTACTAAGCAACTGTACTTTAAATTTTTTTTAAACTATGAATATTTCAGTTTGAACGAATGAGATTTCTATAAATATAATGGAATGTATTTGTAGCCCTGTTGTGTGTTGTAAATGTATTCTGTAATATTTCAAAACTTATTTTTTAGGTGTTTTATAACTGTAGTTGTGTGGAAGTAACTGGTTTCCAGAACAAAAATTACTCAGCTCACTTGGGTGAATGCCCAAGAGATGATACTTGTACAAAAAAATTTTATGGCTATGTAGCAGCACAAGTCTTGAATGTTTTTGCCTCTGCAGTAGGAAGCACCTCACATATCATGCTGATTGTCAAGTGAGTATTACTTTTTAAAGCATTTTCGTGTTTATTAAACTACAAACATACCTAATGATGCACATATTTTTCTATAATATATTTGGAACCCAAATCCATGTTTTGTTGCATTTAAATTTTCTAACAATCCCATTTCTTAGAATTATTGTAAAACTTCAATGCCATAATTAATAACTTTGCCTCTGATTCTTCTATAATGAAATGTAGATTCCATACTTTCTGCTCTTACTGAGAATCTTACGACACAGACTGACAATGGCCTCAATTGTAAAAGAGTCTGTGTATGATTCTAAAAGAATTTTTAATTTTGAGTTCCCTTGCATCCTGATGGGCCTGTCTGGGTGAATCATCTATTGATTTCATCGAAAGAAAACATGAGATATAAGTATAAACTTCAGTCTATAATAATATTCCAAAGTGTTTAATCAATGCACAGAATGGCTTTTGATCTAGTCTCTCATAATACCCTCATAGACAAAACTTGAAAATAATTCATTATTTTCATCACTATATTTAGTCAAGATATCATGCTTGATGAAGAATATTCTGTGGTGAATAAAACAGATAAGGTACCTGTTGACATATAGCTTACAGCAGGACAGGAAAGGCTGACATGGGACAACTAAATTAAAAAATAAAAATATAGTTACGAATTGTATTGTTCTTAGTACTAATAAGGAGAAAGACTGCTATTAAAAGGAATAAAAAGGGAAACCTAATTTTGGATTAATGGAGGGGTTGTGAGGGAAAGGACTCAGAGTACATATCAAAAGAAGTGACATTTGCCCTGAAGATCTAAAGAATAAGTTAAAGTTAGCCAGAAAAAGCTTTTCAGGGAGAAGGTCGAGGGATCTATGTCTTGAAGCACAAAAGCACTAGTGTGTCTGAGGAATGAAAAAATGCCGGTTGATTGGAACACACTGAGGGAGAGTGGAATGGCCCAAGATAAGTCGGGCAGCTTGGAAGTTAGTCCGTTTTTGTTGCTTATAACAAAATACCTGAAACTGGGTAATTAATAAAGAAAACATAATTTATCACTTACAGTTTCCGAGGCTGGGAAGTCCAAAGTCTGGGGAACACATCTGGTGAGGGTCTTGGTGGTGGTGACAGTGAAGGCAGGGTATCACATCGCAAAGTGGCAGAGCAGAGCGAGCAGAGAGAAAGACAGACAGACTCTCCTCTTCTTTTAAAGCCCTCACAACCACGCCCCTGACCACCATTTTTAATCTATTCACTACTGCAGGGTCCTACAGTCCAATCACCTCTTCAAGGCTCCACCTTTCAATTACCATAATAGGATTTCCCACCCTCTTTACAGTCACGGTGGGGGCTAAGTTTCTAATACATAATAGTTGGGGAACACAATTCAAGCTTCAGTGAGTTTGAGGGGGGACATAATTCAATCCACTGCAGGAAATGAGCAAGTAATACAAGCCCTATTGGTCACGTTATCATCCAGTCATATGAAACTGAAAACGTGCAAAGACTTGCATGCGGATTTTAAAAATATACATGTGTAAGTATGGTGACCTGGGTTAATGTCTAATTGTATTTTAAAACCTATGTAGTTGATTACAAGTTTGCTGTCAGCCAACAGCATGATGTGGAGGGGAAAAATGTGTTTTTAACTTTTGTTAAAATTAGTATAGATCTGTAACTTGAGTCTACAGTTGTTTAAATTGTACCCTGACCTCAAAATTTTTAATACTAATTTATCCCACAGATATAGCTTCACCTCAACATAAAATGTCATCTACTCAAAAGACAGAGCCTTATATTTGTAATGTAATTGCCAAATTATAGATTTATTAATTTACAGAAAATAACCTCAAAACCTCATACTAGTTTGCATCTTAGCAGGTTTTAGCTTCTTAATTTAAACTCTTTCATTCTGTGAGCTTGCAGACTTAATACCACGTGGAGGCCACCAAAGCTTTTGGCTTGTATTTTCCAAAGATGAAGGTCCAGCCACACCTGGGGCCAATTTAGCCACAGCTGGAACAGCTGAAGCAGCTGGAGTTCTGGTGTGGGGAGCAGCCTCCCAAGCTAGCCCTGGGCAGTGAGCCCATGGAGGGCGCCTCAGGCCTGTTCCCCAAGACCATTCAGCCTCCTTAGGCTTCTGGGTCCATAATGGGAGGGTTGGCCCCAGAGGCTTCTGCAGTACCTTCAGGGCCTTTTTCTCCTTCTCTTCATAATCCCTTTCTTCTGTACTAGTCTCCTTAGCAAATGGTTGCTGAGGTACACCATTGCATTTTCCTCCTGAAAATGCTCTCTGCTTCTTCTCTACCACATGACCAGGCTGAAAATTTTCTAAATCTTTACACTCTGCTTCCCTTTTAAATTCTGACTTTACGTCATGCCTTCACCCCCATAACTTAGCATAAGCTGTTGCAAGTAGCCATGCAGCTTCTGTAATGCTTTGCTGCTTAGAAATTTATCCCACCAAACACTAGATCAGCACCTTGAAATTCCATTTTACATAAAATTTGGGGGCATGAACAGAACGCAGCCAAGTTCCTTGCCAGTTCACAGCAAGGGTGATCTTTGCCCCAGTGTCCAATAAGTCCCTTCTCATTTACTACTGAGATCTTCCCAGAATGGCCTTTGCTGTCCATATTTCTATCAGCATTCCGATCACCACCACTTATCCAGTATCTGAGATGTTCCAAACTTTCTCTGGTTTTCTTGTCTTCTAAACTCCTACCAGCACGTAGTTGTCTTCTAAACTCCTAAAAGCACCACCCCACTTCTCTGGTACCAATTTTCTGTATTAGTTCATTTCTGTTGCTTATAACAAAATACATGGAACTGGGTAATTTGTAAGAAAATGAAATTTATTGATTACAGTTTCAGAAATGGGAAGTTCAAAGTCCAGGGAACATGTCTGGTGGTGGCAACAGTGACCCAGGGGTCTCACATAGCAGAAATGGTGGAGCAGAGAGAGAGACTCCTATGTGCTCTTTTTAAAAGCCCTCGGAGCCATGCCCCTAACCATCATTATTAACCCATTCACTATGGCATGGTCCAACGACCTAATCACCTGTTCAAGCCCCTACTTTTCAATTGCCATAATAGGATTTCTCACCCTCAACAGTTACTGTGGAGATTAAGCTTTAATGTACGGACTTTGGGGAACATGATTCAATCAATCCATAGCAACAGTTAAATGTTGTATATTACATGATAGCTAGAGGAGAGGCTTTTGAATGTTTTTGTCACAAAGAAATGGTAAATGCATGAGGTGATGGATATATTAACTACCTTGACCCAATTATCATACAACACACATAGATCAAAACCTCAGATTGTACCCCATAAATATGTACAATTACAATGTGTCAATTGAGGTAAATAAATTTTTTTAAAAAGAATATCAAGAAGAAGGAAGTGAGCTACTGTGTCAAGGGCTGCTAGGAGTTCACAGGAGTTAGCGACTAGGAAGTGACCATTGTGTTCCAACATGTGCTAGCTGCTGTTACCTTAACAAAAATAGTTCACAAAGACTGGAAGAAAAGAAGATATTTCGTTTTGTTTTGGCAGCTGGCAAGGGGAACTAACCCCTTGACCTTGGTGTTATAAGGCTGCATTCTAACCCACTGAGCTAACCAAACAGCCAGCCCCCTCAAAGATGCTGTTTTGAAAAGGATCAAGAGAAAATTCAAGAAGGGAAGTGCAGACAGCCAGTAGGAGAAATTCTTTTCAGGGGTACCGTATAGAAAGAAGCAGAGAAAAAGTGTGGTAGCTAGTAGGGTTAGGACACCAAGAGTTCTTTTTATGTTTAATGCTGGATGTAATAGCATGATTGCAGGCTGATGAGAATTATCAAGTAGAGATGAAGGAAGCTGGTAATGCAGAAAAGAGGAGGAACAATTACAGAAAGAGGTAAAAGAAAGGTGAACAAGAACAAAGAATTTTATTCTGTAATACAAGGGCAGGTTGTCGATGTGGGTTGAAGGCAGATAAATGTGTAGCTTTAGTGGTGCGAGAGTATTGGCAGGTAAATGTGTAGCTTTAGTGGTGCGAGAGGATTGGGATTCTACTTTCTCTGTTAGATAAAAAGCAAGGCAATCAGCTAACAGTGAGGAGGAAGAAAAGGAAGAGACTTGAGATGAAATCAATAAATGTGAATTAGTAATTTTGAAGAATTGGGGACTAAGCTGCCTGGGAAAAATGGACTAGTGAAATATAGTAGAATTGCACTAGAGACCCACTGAGGGTTTGTGCTTCTGTATTTAAAATGAGTCCAGTCAACACGTTCAAATGGTTTCCTCCAGCCAATGCAGCTCTTTGGGTACAGGTGCAGAGAAGACAGAGGGTTACATGAATGCATTTTTGTTTATCTAGTACAATAGAGGAGAAGGATGAAAAAGTTCAGGGTATGTGCAAAAGAGGGATTGTAATGAGAAATCATGGTGAGAAGGAAGGGAAGAGGAGAAAATGAACATGGCCTGTGAAAAGACTGGGGGAGTCAAGGGCCTTAAGAGCCCTTGGACTGAGGTTTGCTGGAGTTAGTGTATTAGAGGGAATGAATTTAAAAGTTAGGAGATGGTTATGAGGAGGCAGATTCTCAAAACTGAGAATTAGTTTGACTTCATCTTTTCCAGTCTGGATGCCCTTTATTTCCTTCTCTTCTCTGATTGCTCTGGCTAGTACTTCCAATACTATGTTAAATAGGAGTGGTGAGAGTGGGCATCCTTGTCTTGTTCCTGTTCTTAAAGGAAATGCTTTCACCTTTTCCTCATTCAAGATGATATTGGTGGTGAGTTTGTCATATACGGCTTTTATTGTGTTGAGATACTTTCCTTCTATACTTAATTTGCTAAGGAATTTGAACATGAAGGGATGTTGAATTTTGTCAGATGCTTTTTCTGCATCTATTGAGAATCTTATGGTGTTTGTCTTTGATTTTGTTGATGTGATATATCATATTTATTGACTTGCATATGTTGAAACATCCTAATCTCTGGTATGAATCCCATTGATCATGACATATAACTTTTTTTGATATTTCTGTAATCCGATTGCTAATATTTTGTTGAGGATTTTTGCATCTATGTTCATCAAAGACATTGGCCTGTAGTTTTCTTTTATTTGATGTAACTTTGTCTAGTTTTGGTATCAAGGAGATGCTAGCCTCATAGAAAGAGGGAGAATGGCTTCTGATTCAATTTTTTGGAATAGTTTGAAGAGAATTGGTATTAATTCCTATTTAAAGGTTTGGTAGAATTCGGCAGTAAAGCCATCTGGTCTGTGCTTTGCTTTGTTGGTAGACTGCTGATTACTGCTTCAATTCTGTTGCTTGTTATTGGGCTGTTCAGGTTTTCTATGTCTTCTTGGTACAGTCTTGGTAATTTGTATGTGTTGAGAAATTTATCCATTTCCTCTAGGTTTTCAAATTTGTTGGTATATAGTTGTTTGGGATAGTCTCTAGTGATTCTTTGTATTTCTGTGGTATCAGTTGTAATGTCTCCTCTTTCATTTATGATTTTTTTTTTGTTGTTAGTTGGGTCTTCTCTCTATTTTTTTTAGTTAGCCTTGCTTATGGTTTGTCTATTTTGTTTATCTTTTCAAAAAACTTTTTGTTCCATTGATCTTTTGTATCATTTGGGGGGGTTGTATTTCATTTAGTTCAGAAAGTGTGTACTGATTGGTATGACAGTGGGGTGGGGGAAATAAGGCTTTGGAGAGAAGAGGTCAAGAAACTGGAAGGTCAGAGCATTGGGAGGATGGTCTACATGGATAATAACCTAAGTAGAAAAAGTGGCCGAAATGGTTCTGGAAAAAATGACTAGTTCTGGAGCCTAGAACTAAAACTGTCAAGAAATCATGGTAATGAATACTAATGTCAATCTATAGATAACTTCAACAAGGAGGTTAGGGAATGATATGTTAGGATGGTATACTTCTTCATGGGAGCTGGAGGGCTTTCAGAGGTGGGACTCAGGTCTGGAAGTGGTAAAAGTGACAAGAAGGACATCTACATTTCAGGCCCAGTGATATGCAGGATGTGGGAGAAAAACAGCCTTCACTTGAGAGAGTTGCATGGAAAGAGTCAGTGGAAGACAGCCAGGCTTTGTTCAGAGCAAGAAGGTGGAAGGACTGCAAAAAATGTGGGATCTAAACATTTTGCTGCTAACAGACTGAGTTCCACTGGGCACAATGAAAGGGTTTGAGTGATGGAAAAAGAGTAAGAGACTGTCTGGGATTAAGAGATGTACTAAGCCATGCAGTGGGGAAAGACTTGGTATCCAGAGATGACCTTGAAATATTGGGATTCTGCTGGTGACTGGGGCATGCGAGGCATGATGTAGGCTTATACCAACAAAATAATTCTAATTCCAAGTGACTCCAATGAGAGCAGTGTTTTAGAACTTTTTAAACTTTCATTTCAATGATTTGAATCAGCTAGGAAATGAATTAGAGCTTCTCTTCAATCTTTTGCAAACAGGAAGACAAGCATTCCCTATCTAGCCTGTCTATTGATAGGATTTTATTAGGTCTAGCTGGTAATCATCTCAAGAAACAGTAGGTCCTGATGGCTGATTGTCATTAGGGAAAACAATAGAGAATCCATTTAAATTAAATGTGCTGTATTAAGAAGGTAATAAGTAAACGAAAATAACACATTTACTTTCTTGGAGTGATTTTTTGTGCTTAATTCATCCTGAGAGAGATCTATCAAAATACAGAGCTGCTCAACACCATATGTCAGGTAGGAGTCACACTGCACTGAAAAATATCTTACACGATAATGATGCGTGGGTGTGTGCATACGAGTGTGCATGTGAGTGTGAGCATGGGGGCGAGTGTGAGTGTGTGGCTAGCCATGAGTGTGCATACATGTGCATTTAGGAGTGTGTGTGTGATATTACATATGTATGTCACTATATCACACACATCTATCACTTCCAGAGTTGTTATTGAAGAGCACACATGTAGAAAAATATTAACTTTCTGCAAGTCTCCCAATTCTTCTGCACATTGACCCTCTCCCTGGGTGAAAATACAAGTTGATAACAAATATAGTTTGCCTCTTGTGTGTCTAGTATATAAACAAAGTGCACCCTTTGAAAATCAACAGAAGTGAAAAATAGCACTTCAGGCACTTGTCAGAGAATTCAACAAGGAATGAACTGCAATTTCTCCCTGCCCATAGTCTCCTTTTAGAAATCTGATATTTGAGAGACAGATCCGTGGACAAATTAACTTCCCATTCCTGCTGATTTCCTCATGACAGTCCTCTAATGGAAGAATCCACCTCCTTGAGTAACAGGCATGGCTTCATTGTCCTCGAGTATAGCCTTGTGCCCTCAGCTGGGCTAGCAGTGTCATTGGCCTTTGCAAAAGCAGAGCCAAAAAGACCGGCTGCTTATTTCCTCTCTTAATATATAACGATGCTGTGTTTAATTTTTATTATGCTGTGTTTAATTTAATTGTTGCCCTGTTTAATTTTATGCACTTGCTCAAATACTTTTTAGAACTTCAATGAATAGTAGTCCTCCCACAAGGTTTAACTGACAATTATGTGTAAAGAAAATTGAGGTTTAAAGTGCTAGCTCCTTGTACTGTATTCACACAGCATATGAGATAAGCATTACTGTCCTCACTTAGCAAATAAGGAAACTGAGCCCAAGAGAGGTTAAACGACTTACTTCTCCAAGTCACTTAGTCTGTATGAAGCATCATTTATCTCTTTATTCTCAAGAAAAGGAACTAGCGTGGTATTTCTTAGCAGGCAGTTAGTGTTTATTGAATGACTATATTTACTTAGCTCTCTGAACAAATACAGTCATCAAACAGTTCAAGAAAAAAATTTGTATCAATTAATTCAATATTTCAGTAAAAATGGGATTTTTGAGCCTCAGTCACCTTCCCTATCCCAGCCCACCTCCTCCACTGATTCCAGATAATTTCATTTCACTTGATGTGTACTAGGTTATCACAGATATGGTAGTGTCATCAGCTCACGGAACACAGAAAAATGGAATTGTGACAATAGCTTTCTAAATGCAACAGTGAGTGAATTTCTAAGTGATGATACAAATGTGCTCTTTACATTTAAGAAGACAGTTAAATACACTGGACACTAGAATACAGATAGCTTTTTTGACCCATCTGATTATACTATGTATCTCATGAATCATATTAATAAACTTTTCAGGTAACATCGATGACAGAAATAAGCTGATAAAAAGAGGTCTGCTAAGACCTACACCTACATAAAAGTATCTGCTTTTTTCATATGGGTTGTATTGACTGAATAGACCTCAGAAATCAGTTTCTTCACAGGCATAATAAAGTCTGTTTCAACCACTTTCTCATAGGATTTTCATAAGGATCAAGTGTGAAAATATTTGTGAAACTGTCTTGAAATCATAATGCATTGAATAAATAAGGGAATAATTATTATTGCTAAGATGTTTGCCTTTTTAAAACAACTGAAAATATAACTTGATACAATGTGGGCCATTCATTTGTGGGTTTCATTCCATCAAAGAAAAACGATACTGAGAAATGTTTTAATGTTGAACTCAGTTTGGTATCTTAAAGATGTTTAAAGTTTCTTTGCCTTTATCTTATTTCAGAAATGTTCAACCTGAACTGAAGTCACTTGCAATGGGTTTTCACACACTGATAATACGAGCACTAGGTATGACTAATATAGTGATTATAAATTCAAGATATAAATATTCAGGTCAAAGCATAAAGACTGAATGAAATTCATATCCAATCATAAGAACATTTTTAAAAAGTATAAGAATCATTTGTACTGTTGTGGTAAGTGAAAAATAATAAGAGTGAGAGGGAAAGGCAGAGAGAAGGGCCTTCCTTCTAAACTGAGGCATCATTTAGGTAATGCCTAAAGAAGCCTGGGAGGCCTGGGAATCTGGTCGGCCTGAGGTTGTGCCAAACAATAGAAGCTGGCGTTAAGTGTATCACTTCCCACTGCCCAGTTCTGCAGGCTGGGCCGCTAACCTTTATCAGAAGTTAAAAATGCAAAAGGGAATGAGAACTCAGATTCTAGGCATCTTGGATTAAGAGAGTGTACTGAATGAAAGCAACTCCAGGAAATTGTGGGTTTTGTTGGCAAAGAGTAGGACTGTACGCTCCAGAGGTTAAAGTCCTATTTATAAATGTTCAGATGAGGTGATTAGTAAAAGATTTAGGAAATTATCCTTTCTCCCTTATTGCCATTTCCATTTTTACCCCACAGATGACTGTTGTTGTTAGTTTAACAACTTCTAACCTAACTCCTGTGGGTGCCCCTTACAAGATCTATATTATATTCTCATTCCTGGGAAGTTGGAAAGGGCATCATTCATCTAGGCACTGGAGCAGGGGACTGACCGTGGCCTGGAGGCAACCATTGGTGGCAGAAGGAAGTGAGTGGGAGGGTCAATCCTTAGGACTGGAAAGAAGGAAAGGAAAGAAGTATAACTCTCCATGGCCACATTAAAATAGAGAAGTTATCCAAGAAGTGTATTTGGGGAGAATGTCACAAATCCTTAAAGGCAAAAAGAGGAAAAATATAAAGGGACTGCGAGAAAGGAGTAGAGGTGCTGCAGGATTCCATCACTGTTCTCTTCCTAGCATTCTCTTTTTTTAAAAATTATTTTAATTAATGCATTCTAATTGCATATGCTTATGGGGTGCAATCTGATGTTTTGATACACGTGTATGTGCCAGCATTCTCTTTTGCATGTCTGTAATCTTGCAGCCTCTATATATCCTGGCAGTTCCCTATCTCCAGATCCAGTAGAGATACTTCACTCCTATAACACAGGCCACACAAGGTGAAAATAGAATCTGGGTAGTTAGTGCTCCTCCTGATATGCTAAAATTAAATTCTGAGAATAGAAAAAAAATTTTTCTAGTAACATAAAATGGAAAAAAAAGAATGTTAAAATCCTAATTGTGGGCATCCTATTTCGATGTGTCCAACACATAGCACAATGGAAACTAAATGCTTCTATGGGAAAAACATGTACTGACTATCAAACTTCCAGTTTATATGTGAGAATTGTGGAAGGCTCGTAGAGTGTATTAAACTGAAAAAGTTATTTAGAAAATAGGTTATTAGAAGTTTTAAAATTCTGGTAATGATTAAGACCAACTTTGTTACTCCCCAAAATTTAAATTATTAAGTTTGTTCAAACCAGTGGCATTATGTAGAGAAAGAAAACTTATGGCATATATTTTTCATTTTTCAAAGGGTGGCTGTAATTTTTTGAAACCTGCAAATGTCTCACCCATTTTCTCAGTACCAGTTTTCCCCAGATACATTGGCCTCAGATACTAGTCCCTTATCATTACAAGACCTTTCACTCTCAGAAAACTGAGACTGATTAAACATACATAGAGTCAAAATTGTGATATATGAATTGCCATCATTTTTATGTGACAAAATAAAATCTGAATATCACTCTTCAAAATGCAAAAAATAAAATGAAATAAAATCATGAATACTTCAGGTCGTCCACCTGAAGGATACATCTCTCCTTCAAAATTTTGATCAAATTACCTGTGCTTAGAACTAGGAGTCATCTCAGAGTTTATTAAAATAGCAGTAAGAACAGATGGACATGTCTATAAACAACATACATACTCCTGAAAAGTGTCACGTTCCGCAAAATCATGCACTACAAATAAAAATTGTATTAAGGACAGACCACTGGAGACATGCATCATTGTGATCAGAATACTAACAGAAACAAAATTTGGCAGCATAGGCCCTAACATGGACAGCCTAGGCTGCTTCAAGAGGTATTTAAAAATGTACAAAATCAATGGAGAGAAAATGCTGAATTGTGGGCTCTAAAGAAACCAAAAAAGTGGAAGTGGAGCTTTAAGTCCAGAAAGAAGTTCAACCCACCGGGAGCCCAGCAGTCTATGACGCTGGGCCTGCACTTTCTGGGGAGGGAGTCCTTATGAAAGCATTGACTTTTTAATTTCTTAAAATGGAGTTGAAAAAACTCCTGCCTTTGCAGCAGTGGAGCTGAGAGCTTCGTCCTTTCCCTGTAAAGAGATAATTCTATTCCTACTATTCCAGCTCTCCTTGCCTAAGAAAAATTACATATGGACCAGCATATATCTTCCATGTTTACTAACAACATTCTCTTTTTTACTATCAGGCTTAGGCTAATTGGTATTATAAGTAGAACAGAGTGTACAGACATATAATTTTCCTTCTTTCATATGGGTGTTGGAGGGTGAAGGCAGATAAAAGATGTCTATGATATTACCATATGATTTGAGCCTCTGAAATTTCTAATAATCTTGAGGCTTGGGTAGATTTAAGCCAGAACAATGGAAGAGTCCTACAAAATATTCAATGTTTACTTAATCCAAATGTATCAATGTGGAATATGCAGTTACCTTTGAAACATGTTCCTTGGATTGACATCTTCTCACCTCATATTGCAGGAGGAATTCTAGCTCCAATATACTTTGGGGCTGTGATTGATAAAACATGTATGAAGTGGTCTGTCACAAGCTGTGGGAAACGAGGGTCTTGTAGAGTATATAATTCCAGATTATTTGGGTAAGTTATAATAAATATATTTTATTAATTTTTCCCTTTGATTATATTAATTCCTAAAAGATATCATTTTCAGTATGATAATAGTATTAATAATTATAGTCACAATTAAATGAACACTTATTTTGTATTTGGTATTGTATCAGGCAATCTGGTATCTCATTTCAATGCTCATACAAATATACTTTTTTTCCTTTTTCCTTAAATATGAAGAAACTAAGATTCAAAGATAATAAGTACCTTTTATGCAAAATCACACAGCTAACAGAAAAAGAGCTAAGATCTGTGCCCAAATCTTGTTTCCAAAAAGTTTCCTCATACTGAAAAAATATGTGTCTATATATTCAATGGCCTCTGGTTTCTCTAGGATGACACAGAATGACCAGCTGGGGCTCTGGTCACAAGTAAGGGAGAAAAAAGAGAGAAAAAAAGTTTCTATACTCTTCTATTCATAGGGAGAGATATTCTGTAAGTGGTATGAGGACAACTGAATGATCACCTGAGGGAAAAAAGTTGCAATGATACCTTATATCTTACATGAAAATTAATTGCAAATGTATGTACTCATCAAATATATAAATTAAAAATGTGAAACTGCAGGTATTTGAAGAACTCATGGTAAAATTTCTTTTAATTATCTAGGAAGCAGAAATATGTTTCTAAGTATGACCTAAACTCCCCAAACCATAATAGAATAAATGATTTTTAAAAAAAGTTTTTAAACTCTGCATTATGAAACTTATTTTAAGCAAAATTCAAAGAGTAAAGATAAATTGGAAGAATTTTGCAGCACAGACACAGGAAAATGTTCTAAATATATAAAGAGTTCCTAAAAAACAAGGAAAACAACATGAAATGCTGACAAAAATGTGAGGCAACAATAATTCTCTTATTGTTGGTGAGAATGTGAAATAGTACAGCTGTGTTAGAAGGCAGTCTAGTAAGTCTGATCATTTCTTACAAAGCAAAACAAAGTCTTATTATATGATCAAGAAATTGTGCTCCTATATATTTACCTAAATGAGTTGGAAAGTTTTGTACACACAAAAAACTGCACATGAATGTTTATAGCAGCTTTATTTATAATTGCAAAAATAATGGAAGCAACCAAGATGTCCTTCAGAAGGTGAATTGATAACCAAACTGGGATACCTTTGTACAATGGAATCTTAAATCAATAATAAAAAGAAATGAGCTGTCAAGCTACAAAAAGACAAGGAGGGGCTGGCCCCGTGGCGCACTGCTACAGTGCGCCGCTTGGGAGTGCGGCGGCGCTCCCGCCGAGGGTTCGGATCCCACATACAGACCGGCCGCTCACTGGCTGAGCGAGGTGCGGGAGCAGCACTGAGGGTTGCGATCCTGTTGCCAGTCCCGGTCCAGTACGGGCGCGACACTGAGGGTTGCGATCCGTTGCCGGTCACGAAAAAAGACAAAAAAGGAAAAAAAAAAAAAAAGACAAGGAGATAAACTTAAATGAATATTACTAAGTGAAAGAAAGCAGTCTGAAAAAGCTAGACTATATAATTCCAGGTATATGACCTTCTGGAAAAGGCAAAACTATAGACACAGTAAAAAGGTCAGAGGTGGCTTGGGCCTCGGGGGGGAGGAAGGGAGGGTTGAATACGTGGAGCACAGGGCATTTTTAGGGCAGTGTAACTATTCTGTATGATGTTATGATGGTGGATACGTGACATTATGCATTTGTCAAAACCTATAGAACTGTGCAACACAGGGTGAACTCTAATATAAAATATGGACTTGCTTCATCAGTTGTAACAAATGTACCGCACTAATTCAAAATGGTAATAATATGAGAAATTGTGTATGTGGGGGGCAGGAGATATATGGGAACCCACTGTACTTTCTGCACAGTTTTTTTGTAAACCTAAAACTGCTCTAAAAAAATAAGATTTAAAAAAGGAAATAGACATTTCCCAAAGAAAAAGAATCACAAATGACTATAAGACATATTTTAAAGTTCTCAAATTCATTAATAATTGTGAAAAATACTGATTATACACTGTGTTGTCAAAAGCACTTACCTTTAAGCCAGGAGCAGTACTTCTGAAAAATTATTTTCTTTTTCTTTCTTTCTTTCCTTCTTCCTTCCTTTCTTTCTTTCTTTGCTCCCACTTACGAGTGAGGTCATGGGGTAGAAAGAAGGACCACAACAAAATGCTGAACTTTCAGAAGAGAACAGACCTGTAGTTACTAGAGGTGGGAAGGGTTAGGGAGTAACTGGGTAAGGGACACAAAGAATAATTACTATTTGTAATGATGAACATGCTAATAATATTGATTTGATCATCACATACCACACACAAATACTGATAGTCAACTCTGTACCCCAGAAATATGTATAATCAATTATATTTCAATTAATTAATTAATTAATTAAAAAATAAAAAATAAAAATTTATCCTACAGATAGCTACACTCCCAAATATGTAAAATGACACATATAGAATATTATGTATGTGTGTATATACAGCATTGTTTATGATAGCAAAATATTGAAAATAATATTCTCTCAAGAAAGGACCAATTAAATAAATAAATAATGGCACATACAGGCAATTAATGGTACATACAGGCAAATTAATATTCTGAGGTCTTAAAGAAGGAAAAAAGCTGTTTGTTTACAAATATGGAAACTTCTTTAAGATATATACTTATGTGGGGAAAAAAAAGAAAACAGGTGGAATACACTATCATTTATGTAAAAATGGGAAAAGCCTCTTAGTTCAGGATAGACCCCTGGAGAACACTCCTTGGATCAAATTTACTGGAAAGACTTCTATTTTTGTGTAAATTCACTATCTAACATCCCCAATAGATAGCCATCAGCTGCTTCTGGAATTCTAGTGAAACAGCAACACAGACATTCCCATAACATTTTTTGAATCCCAATTATTAAATTTTCTCCCCAAATGGGAAAGATTTTCTAAAAGTATGGAATGAGATTACAAAGAAAAAATTAATAAATTCACCTTACTGACTTTATTTTACAGAAGTGTTTATTAATAATTGAAATTATCATTCATTTCCAGGACGCCTGGCAAGATACTCCTCAGAATTTTCCTAAAGCATTGACCACCAAGCACAAGTTTAAGATAACATTTTAATGTGATTGTTTTGGCTTCAGTAGAAATAGACCCTGAAACCATTTTTCTTTTTTTTACTAGTTTTGTATCTTTCAGTGAAGGTTTAGATACAACTAAAATGGAAAATTTTTTTGAAAAATTTTATTAAATTGATTTATTAACTAATTTCTGATGTTGAACAAGCATTATGGTATCCAAATTTTTATTATACCACAAAGACCCTAGTGATTCCCTTTATGTATATGTATTCGTATGTCTACATCTGTATATATATATCTTTCTATATATATGCTATTTTGTGTACTTTAAGTTATTCTCGACCCCTCAAGACATTATTATTAAGGTTTAAAAAGTTAGCCAGTGTATTTTCCCACATATTTACCACTTTCTTTGCTCCTCACTCCTTCCTGCATCTCAGATTCCATCTATGATCACTTCCCTTCTCATTGAAGTAGATCTTTTTAAACATTCTGTAATGATGTCTTTTAGTAGCAAATTGTCAGTTTTAATTTTTCTGGAAATATCTTTTTCTCAATCTTATACTTAAAATACATATTTACAAGGTATAGAATTCCAAATTGACAATTATTTTCTCTTGGTACTTTGAAGGCATCATTCTATTGACTTCTAATTTACAATTTTGCTGTTAATAAGTTAGTTGTTGTCTGTTTCTCTTGCTCTGTTAAGGTAATCTGTCTTCTCCACCTGGATTCTTTAAGTATATTCCCTTTCTGTTTGGTATTCGGCAGTTTCACTATGAAGTGTCTAGGTGTAGATTTCTTTTTATTTATCCTGTTTGAGAATCAGTGATCTTCTGACATCTGTAGATTGGTTACTGTGATTTGCAGAAAAATGGCTACCCAGAGATGTGCTATGCTAAGGTTTCAGATGAAGTAAAGTTGCTAATCAGCTGACCTCAAGATAGGAAGATTATCTGGTGGGGCCCAACATAATCACAAGGATCCTTAAAAATGGAAGAGGGAGGCAGAAGAGGAGGTCAGAGTGACCTGATGAGAGAAGGACTCAGTCCATTGTTGCTGGCTTTGAAGATGGAAGAAAGGGGTCAGGAACCAAGAAATGTAAGTGGCCTCTAGAAGTGGGAAAAGGCAAGGAAACAGATTCTTCCCTAGAACTTCCAGAAAGGAACGCAGCCCTGCCAGCACCTTGATTTCAGCCCATTGAGACAGGTATTAGGCTTTTGTCTTTCAGGACACGCTTTAGGCTCAGCTTGTTTACCCTTTTCTTTCATAAAGTGCATACCATTCCAGCCAGTTGGAAATAATCATCCTTCTCTAGAACTCTCTTAGCACACTATAGCACACTCATGGTCCTTATCACTTTCCTTTTAGTCACTTGTGTTTATTGCTGGATTGTCTAAAGTGAGATCTTTAAAACGAACAGTGCACTTATCAATAAATACACAAAAAGTTAAATGTTTATATTATGATTTATTTTTTAAAACAGTTTTAGATTCACAACAAAATTGAGTACACATATTTCCCATTTATCCCCTTCCCCAACACATGCAAAGCCTAACCCACCATCAACATCTCCCACCAGGGTGGTACATTTGTTATAATTGATGAACCTACCCTGACACATTGTTACCACCCAGAGTTCATAATTTACATTAGAGTTCACTGTTGTTGTTATACATTCTATGGGTTTGGACAAAGGTATAATGACAAGTATCCACCATTATAGTACTATATAGAGTAGTTTAACTGACTTAAAAATCCTCTGTGTTCTGCCTATTTACCTCTCCCTCCCCCTTAAACCTTGAAAACCACTGATCTTTTTACTGTTCCCACAGTTTTGCCTTTTCCAGATCATTGTATAGTTGGAAGTATACAGTATGTAACCTTTTCAGCTTGCTTTCCTTATTAGTATAATATTTAA